ATGAGGTGTCACATGACTGCCATTCCATTTAAAAAATGGTACCTGGCACTTCTATGTAAAAATGTACCATGCATGCATCAATTTCATCTCTCCGAATTCCAAAGTGCTAAGTTACCCCGTTCAAAAACTAATTAGGGGAGACCTTTTTGACAAGCACTGTATAATGTTACCATACATTTCTAATCAAACTTTCTTGGTTTCCGCGCTCTATAAATAAATCTGCGTAATGATGTGTGAAAACAGAAAATTGTAACGAACCTTTTCTGCACCACAGACATCTTGGCCACCGATATGTTCAACAAAATATCTTCGGTAATATTCTTCATGCTTTCCTTCTGTAATGCTCGTAATACCTTTTGAAACTCTAACGAGTAAAACTGTTTAAAGAAAGTGGAGTATCAGTTTGAAAACTTTTTTTCTCACTTGCTAGTTTTTTAGTGTGCTTACCTTTCCTTTGTAATAGCATACTTTGTCATAACATATAATATATAATATTTTTGTAGTATCTGTTCTACAGGTATTGCTCATACTTTTGCACATTACAAAAAACTATTCTCTGTGCACTACGCTGCATGACAATTACCGATTTTTTTTGCATGAATTTGTCTATCTAGAACAAAGCTATGATTTTGATCCATATTTTTGTGTTAGTAATTAGTAGTGCATGAGAAAAGGTAGATGTTAGTTAATACAATATTTATATTTTAAATTATATTTTATTTGTTTTAATTGTTGCTGTTTGTTAATAGGTAAAGGAGTAGCTAGAAATACTACCATATTTTGCATTCATTTTAACTAGAATAACTACGACTGGGATTTACACATTTTGTCTAACGGCATCTAGAATATATTTTGATGAATCATTACTTATTTGATTAAACGATTAGAATTAAAATTATTTATTACGTCATTTAAAGAACACCTAGGTGCATTTTGTACCGTGTTTTTTTCCATTCATAGATCGGTTAATACCCTCGTAAGTCACTACATTCCTTCCTCTTCAAATAACACTACTTAAAATACACCTTCAGTGCAAAAAAATCATTCTGGCAGGGTTATTACTTAAAAGAACCTATATGTCAAAAAAAGCGTGTGCACTAGGTAGCCGCTTGTCCATGCCGCGCGTTCTGTCGGTTGGAACAGAAACAAACAATTTTTGTGAACTAATTATACAGGGTGCGGCAGAGAGGATGGACGGTTTTAAAAAAATCATAAAAGAGTTAATTTTTACTCGAAAACAAATTTATTGATGGAATCAGGTTCACAAGGAAATAGCATTTGAGACAGTCAAGTGTGGAAAATCATATCAGGCATGTGGTGGTCGAAATCGTTGATGCAGTGCTGGAGGCGTTCTTGGAAGTTCGCGTAGACTCTCTCCAACATCGCTCTCTCAACTTGGGCGATTTCCACGCGAATTTCGACCTTCAATTCGTCCAGAGTTCGGGGCTTGTTCACATATACTTTAGCCTTGAGGTGTCCCCATAAGAAAAAATCGCATATGGATAAATCTGGGGACCGAGGAGGCCAATGAACATCGCCAAACCTGGAAATAAGGCGACCAGGGAAGAGAGGGCGAATAACGTCCATGGATGCTCCCGTAATATGCAAAATTCGCAATACCGAACGATCACTAAGGCGAAGTGCAGCAGCATGTTTCCGGGCAGATCGAGTCGGACTGCAAAGAAAGACCTGTCGAACTTGTTCAACATTTTCAGGAGTTCGAACTGTTCGCGGCGCTCCTCTTGGTCTTCTGCTGATCAGTTCACCACGCCTGCGAAGTGATTCAACCCAACGAAGGATGGTGTTTCGAGAGGGAACAGCTCTATTCCGATGAATGTTGAAGTGGCGACGAAACTCACGCTGTACGACGATGACTGACTCATTATTTCGGACGAAACAATCATAGGCGAAAACGCGGTGCTCCACCGTCCAAGGCTCCATAACGACAACTGGTAAAATAATGCTAGGATCTCACGAGTCAAACGGCACCCTCCCCACCTCTCTCGTAGGCGGAGGCGGAGAGTACCCATCCCAAAAACGTCCGTCCTCTCTGCCGCACCCTGTAGATGTATGCGTACAGCACTACACTCCGTTTATACACCAATTTATACAAAAATAACAAAACTAACTTCGCTACACTGCGTTCCTAACTTGTTTTCTAGCGTGTAACGTCACACGAGTCAAATATTATATAAAATATTGAATCATACTGCACACTGCGCGCCTGGGATGTGCCGTGCTAATAAGAGTTGATTGTCTTTTTCACGAGTATCGATTACGGTAGAATGACAGTTGATGATGTAGTAATATTTCAAGATATATATCCGCAAAGAACACATAGTTCTGACGGATCCATCATGCCAGGTAGACAGAGCCGAATTTTGTTTTGATTTTTTGTACCCTACAGATTTGTTTTGTACTTCTTAAAAGCTGTCTTATTTGGAAAAGTTCCTTTGCATACAAAAAAAAAACACTAGAAACAAGTTTTGTTAGATTTACACCCGATTCATTATTGACAACGTGCCAAATTAATAGATAAATAGTCTTATACTCTCACAGAAAGCCAACAGAAAAGTACAACTCACGTACAATGCGATGTTTGTTTACTTGCATGTGACATCACCAGAGTTTCCACCAATCACAGGGCGTTTCTGTCACAGATCAATTTTTAAATAAATAGAGTATTTTTATTTATTTGTTTCGCAACAACTATATATGTTTAGGTGTAAATTAAAGTGAAATTGGTTTTTACGCTATTTAATAAAATCATCACAATTCGTAATTTATTTTCAATACTGTCAAACGTTCATTTTCAACATCTTCGGAACGAAGTCAACGTCAGTTATTTGCTAACAGAATTTGGGAAATATTAAATGTGCCACTATTTTGCAACAGGTAAATATCTAAATATATTGCTTTAAACAGGGTGGTCCACACTATGCGCCAAAAGCAATTTCAAATTAACCTCGTGAAAATAACGGTATTGATCAACAAAGAATTCTCAAAACTGTTACTTGATATGACATATTTTGACATTTTGAAGCTTGGTTGTGGCTTTAAACGATTGAATATACAAAAACGCTCAAGTTTGACAGTCTGTCAATTTGCCGTATTGAAAAATAGTGATTTTATATTTTTGAATTGTAAAGTACTGATCAGGAGCTACAAAACGAGTTATTAATTCACCCTATATTTCATTTAAAAATGTTCTAAGGTTACTCCCAACCACCATCTTGAAGTTTTAAAATGCCACTTATACACTGAAATGATTCATGCATAAATTTCATCACCCCCAATTTCAGCTTGTTAAGTTCAAAAAATGAATGGGGAGAACCTTTTAGAATTACACAAACAAGACAATAGTGTGACAACAATTTTATTGTCCTTTCAGTTTTGTGACAGGAAAGTATTACGTCATGATAAAATGGCAGTAATGAACGTTCGTGTTTGGGCTGCAAATAATGGCATTATACTTCGATAATTTTCTGAATACTTCTTTTTTCCCTTGGAAAATTTTGAAAACCGTGATATTGCTTGATAGAAGTTAGTATGTGAACCGTTTATGTTGAGCTGTGCTAGTTGTCACCAGATTTAGTTAGCTCGTAACAGCTAAGTGCAATTAAACGTAACCAATGTAATACAATATGATAGACCTTGAAATTCTGCTACTTAAGCTGTCTTAACATACTATGGTTTTACTGACGCTGCAGTCAATTTGATAAGCTGCTATTTGTCATATAGAAATCAAAAGGTCCTAACAGCTTCGAAAATGTCACAGTCAACTGCTATAAAGTTTGGTGTTCCTCAAGGTTCCATATTGGGACCTTTACTTTTCTCTCTATATATATCGGATTTTCATCAATATGTCCATAATTGCACAATCCATCACTGCCGATGGTACTCAAATTTATTTTAGTTTTCAACACAAAGATTTTAAAATAGCAGAAGCATTGCTCAACGAAGACTTAACAAGGCTAGTAGACGTCTCGTGCTCGCATAACCTAAAAATTAATCCATTTAAATCCTCAGTTATGGTTTTCGGCTCAAAAAACAAAAGAACATTGGTCGAAACGGAAACTAACCTTAAAATCTATTATTGCCGGCTTCCTATAATGAATGAGTTTAAAAACCTGGGACTCTGGATTGACACATAACTAAAATACAAAAAACACGTAAATTCGTTATGTAGTGCATCGTACTGCATTTTGAAGCAGTTTTATCCACATAGGCAAATAATATCTACTTAAGTAAAGCTGAAACTGTGTGAAACATTAATTATATCAAAGATCAGTTATTGTGACAGTATATATGGCCCGGCTCTATCATATAGTGAACAAAGCAAATTACAGCGTATTCAGAATTCGTGCGTCAGATTTTCTTGCGGAATATGAAAGTTTGATCATATTTCTTATAAACTTAAGGAACTTGGTATTCTGCAGATTAAAAGCGTGCAAAAACTTCACTTATTGACACTCACACATAAGGTCTTAGCTACCAAACAACCACAATATTTGCATAATAAGTTAACACGATGTACTGACATAAATCAACTGAATACAAATGTTGCTGATACCCTTACATTCTAAGGCTGTCTACAAAAAATCATTCAGCTACAACGCTATTAAATTATTTAATGATCTGCCTCTTACATTCCAAAACTATACATTATTTAATTTTAAAAAGAGGCTTAAACTAAAACTACAAGTCGAGGTCTGATGATGAATTATGGATACATTTTTATTGGTGGAATGTTTTATTATATATTTTTTTGTTCTTTCACAGGTTAAGTTGAAAAACGCTAATCTTAGCGACACTTCTCCTTTTTTGTACTTTTACTTAGGTACGAAATAAAGCCCATTTATTATTATTATTATTACAATGTACTTGGGTATATTTAGAAATTTACGAAATACTTCAAACGAATGTGTAAATCCTTAGTTTGTGCCATTTTCTGGGTGTATCGTTTCCAAGTAGGCTAGATTAGTGTGGGTGTCTTATAGGGGGCACTAGCGCGCGCAGACGGCCGACGGCAGAACAGATCGGTGGCCAAGGTCGCTCAGCTGTTGGGCACTACGGAGACCTTCGTCAATCAGCACAAGGGATATCCAGAAGAGGTGATGATCATGACCAGAAGAATACGTTTTTTATAGTAAATCCAAAACTTATAGACAAATGTATATCTTTTTACAAAAAGTTGAACTTCAATATCATTTTTTTAAACAATTCGATAAACAGTTTTTTTTGCGGCCTACCGGGATGACCACCAATTCCTAATCAATTTACTTGGCTTCTGATGGTATTCTGTTGTTACCACGATAAGTACTGTATCGAACAGAACAACGGTTGTTTTGATAAACTCCGTAAAATAATGAGAGCTTTTAGCTGCTCACTCATTTGAAGGTAACATAATTTAATTTTATTTGAATGTAATATAGGTATACTTCAAACATAGTAAGAACCTTCATATTTGCCATGTGAGTGCGTGCTAGTTTCCTGAAAGGGCATATCCTGTTGTATAATAACCATGCATATACAGTATGTTATAACGAGTTTGTTTTATACAGCTGGGGCATTATAGGGAGTGCGAATGACATGACCGGCTTAGTAATAATACCTTTAGTAATGATGTTATGATGTTTTGTGTCAGGTGGGTATCATCAAGCCATTGTTGCCATTCATACTACGATGATGATCGGCTTTGTGATACTGGTGGTTACATATTATAGTACATTTGAAGAATCATTCGATATTCTCTAGTACTATGTCAATATACTTATAATTTCTTGCTTACGTTACAAAAAACAAATGAGCTATGTTGGAAGTGCATTTTTTCCAAAAGAGTGTTCGTTTTTTTAGAAACAGATTTCCTGCCATACACATAAGTTTGTAGGGGTTAGGTAATGGGAATATGTTAATAGAATTAAGTCATAGCAGTAACCTTTATGGTTGCATATCCCAAGAGAGAGTTATACGAATATCAGTCAAATGCAATATGTGGTCTTCTAAAACCGTATATATGCATATGAATGGAAATGCAAATGTAATAAATTTATAACATACCCGAGAAGCCCACTTTTATTATTAATTGTAATTAAGTTAAACATTTCGTAAATGTGTCCGATTCTGTAAGAAGGTAAAGGTTTAGTGTTGGAGGTTCTTAATTTTTTCAAATCTCATTTTACTCATTGACTTCACTACGATTATTTATGGTGGAACATAGGGGTGTATATTTACTTATAAATAGATAGGGGTGCGTTAAGATGTATAGAAAGAAATTTTTGAGTAAACCGTTATACAAAAATTGGGATGGACCTGCTGGGGAAACACTCTTCTCCAAAGTTACCCATCATTTTCATGAGGTGTCTTATCATTTGTGTTTGAATCGTAAATAGTGATACAATTTATATCATGCATTACAGAAAAAGTTATGTATGCATTCAAATAATAGTAAGTTTTGGATTTACTTTACAAAAGGCATAGCATATCACTTTTAACAATGTCACTAAGTCACTATGCAGTGATTAAATCCCATGTGTAGTTTAGCATGTCATGTAGCCATATTTCAACCCTCTAATACTATATTTTCTTAAGGTGGAATTGTGTATCAAAATAATGAGTGACATTATGGAGCTGCTCTTCCGTAATGACGTTGGACCAACTTACAATGACCTGAATGAGATTATACATTCGAATCTGAGGACTATTATTCAGAGTCACATTAAAATGGAAAGAGAAAACCCTCATGCAGTGAGTATATAAATATTTTTCTAAAATAGTAATCAAGCTTTAATTACGCCTTTATAAAGAAATTAAGGACTTTTTATATTCTCGCAAAATAAGTCGATAAAATGGAGTATGAAAATTGAACTGAAAATGTGCACTCTTTTTAGCATTGCATTATCTGGAAAAGTGTCGTGTCGATGTCTTAAGCTGTTCAAGGTCAGATGTCACAAAAGTTAGTGAAATCAATTTATTATGAGATCTTTGTGCTGATAGTAATAATCTGTAGTACCTATATCACATGCAGGAATTCTTTCATTAACTTTTATTAGTTCTCCTCAAAAGGCAATACAACATTTACTAAACAACCTCAAACTTTAACCCTTTGTCAGATTTGTCACTGTGCTGTATGATGCAATGTACAGTTTTCCGAGAAACACATTTTTTATGACAACGCATTCAGTGGACGACTGAATGCTCCCATTTTCTTCATTTTCTTCGAAAATGCGTAAGTTATGTAATACTTCAAAAACCTCAAAAATATACACATCAACTTGCTACATATGTAAATTTCACAGAGCAACGGAATCACTAGGAAGCCAATGCCCCTATATCTCCGGAGGCAACGAATACCACGGTTTACAAAACAATCACCTATGATACTCTCCTGTCAGTACCAAAAACAGTCACCCAAAGGTAAAAAAGAAGCGGCGGATGATTATTTATTTATGAAAAAGCTCAAAATGACTTTGTAATGGCGAAAGTATTTACAATAACGGAAACATATTTACTTTTGCTATATATTCTACGCAGCTGCTATCAATACATTGCATTTTGAATGTGAGCAATGCTAAAAAAAAACAGACAAATACAACCGTCACTCAACAATAAGAATTTCGGAGTATTTTTCGCGGAAAAAACGAACACATTGTTTATTAGTAAAACTAAACCACTTTGCATGAATATTTTTTATTGTTCATTCTTTCTAAACAAATTCATTCAAAAAATGTATATGTTGTGAAGTAATTATGAAGCACCTTGTGGAGAGCATATTTTCCAAGTGAGGATCGTATAGTTGCCTACAATTTTTATAACTAACTTTTCATGTAAGTTATAGGGCTACCTATATCCTACTAGAAGATAAAAGATGCAACTCAGCACCTTTACGCATCGCCTGGCAACTGCGAGAATGCAATATGATATTTTCCTTTGTCTTATCATTCAAATGAACATTGTACTTTACATTTTGTAATTCAGTTAAAATCTAGCCTTCACGCTAATCAGTACTTGTAATTTCGGAAATTATTTTTTAAAAAGGCACTTACGCAAACTCGAAGTATAAGTGGCGTAGCCAGATATGATCTTTGGAGGCTGTCTACGGCTTGTAGGCCAACCCTAATTTAGAAATACCACAGTGTATTGCTACAGTGAAAAATGGAAAAGCCATTTGCACTATTTTGAATCCGAACGATTCATCAATAAAAATAAGTAATTTGGATCCATTGAAGGTAGATCAGTTCGCGCATTACGAGTTGGTTACTGAAATCAATGATGCTAATTTACATAACTATTCTGCGGATCAAGTTAAGACAGATTTTTCTAAGTTTAGAACCGAACACATGAATTCAGAAAAAAAACTGCGGTCATAAAACTCATTAGGGATTATTCAGATATTTTCTATTTTGAATGAGATAAATTGACGTTTACTAGTTTACTAATCATATGCAGAACAATGAGAAAAGCATTGAAAATGCAATATTCAGTTAATCACAAATTGATCGAAAATTATAATTTTACTTTTCAAAACATTCAGCACGATGAAAATTTATTGAAGTAGCAAATATTGCAACTGAACGAAATTGCACAGGCAAGCAATACGAATCAAAATATTCTTTTTACTAAAGTCATCCGTCAATCACTTTTAATGCTTTACAATTTTATTCTCAGTACATTGCAAGATATAGAAAATTCTTTTACACTTTGTAAGTTAGGAGTTATGCATCCAAGTATTATCAGACCAAGCGAATTACATAAGGAACTCTCGAAATTATCTTCCTATTATAAAAACATGCTTCCTTATGATGTCAAATTTGAAAATATGTTAGATTTTGAATCACTCATAAAGGTACACTGTAAGATTATTTTTTTTTTATTTTTTTTTTATATCGAAACAGCCGCGCAGGCAGAAGCCTAAATGCCGGAACACCGCGGCTGCTATGATGATCCCAAAGAAATTTTGTTGATACGATTTTTGAACTGCCTAAGGTTAGTAGAACTGGGAAAAGCTTCCTCCCGTAGATTGTTCCACAATCTTGACACCCTCGGGACAAAGGAGCGGTCGTATCGGCCAGTTCTGGATGTACGAAGTTTGACACGGTTAGGATGGGACGCCGAAGTCAGGCGGGTCTGTCTGGCAGGCACATCGCGCGGCGGCATCATGGAAGAGAGCTCTGAGGAGCAAAGCCCGTTGATGTAGCGATAGAAAAGAGCTAGATCGCCGACGACCCGCCGGTGCGAAAGAGTCCCGAGACTGTCTGTTAGAGAAGAGTCATCGATCAGTCGGACCGCCCTCCTCTGGACAGCATCGAGCATGGACAATGTAGTCGGGGCGGCAGCACCCCAAATGTGTGAGCAATACTCGAGGCTAGGCCTTTCTGGGCCTTGTATAGAGTGAGAATGTCATGCGGAGAAAAGTACTTCTTAGCCCTAAACAAATAGCCTAGCTTTTTCCCAGCAGCTGCAGCTATTGAAGAGATGTGTTCGTGCCAGATCAGGTCCTCGGTGATCTGGACTCCGACCAGCCGAAATGAATGGCTCTTTGGTAGAACTCGACCGTCCATCGAAACTGTATGAGCGCTAGGACGCTTTTTGTTCGTCAAAGTACAGTACTGTGTTTTGGAAGCATTGAACTGTACAAGATTGTTGCGTCCCCAAGCAGTGATAGCCTCCAGGTCTCTTGTCAGAGAAGAAGTCGTCGCTAGTCTTCTTTTTTCCAGCTCAGCGGCAGAGATCGGCTTGTCACTCTGAATTCCTGCATGTAGAGTGCTGTCATCAGCGAAGCTGTGGATTGGGTTGATCGTGCAGGAAAGGAGGTCGTTGATATGTAAGAGAAACAGTGTTGGAGCCAAGACCGATCCCTGGGGAACACCCGCGTTGACGTTGTGGGATGAAGAGGAGAATCCGTCAATTACGACGGATATCTTGCGGCCAGAGATAAAGTCAGCCACCCATCTGCAAAGCTTTTCTGGGAGGCCATAGGATGGAAGTTTGCTTAAGAGGGCAGCGTGCCACAGCTGACCGAACGCTTTCGTGATGTCAAGAGCAACGACATGAGCCTCACCATGAGACTGGATGAGTTTACTCCACAGTTGCGTGACGTAAGCTAGGAGGTCCCCTGTGGATCGTTGGTGCCGGAAACCGTACTGCCTGTCGCTAATCAAGCTGTGACGTTCGAGGTAGTCCAGAAGCTCGCGATTTATGCACCTCTCCATCACTTTACTTATGACAGAAAGCAGAGCTATAGGCCTGTAGTTGTAAGGGTCGGTTTTAGATCCTTTTTTTGGGATGGGCTGTACATGAGCAAATTTCCAGTTTTCTGGGAAGGTGCCGGATTCATAAGATATCTGGAAGAGACGCGAAAGAACTGGAGCAAGCTCCGCTGCACATCTCTTCAGTACAATGGCAGGAATCAAGTCCGGACCAGAAGCTTTGTTGATGTTAAGCGACAAGAGCACTCGTCTTACGGTCTTATGCCTGAATGTTACCTCCCGCATAGTGTGGGGAACCCTTTGAATTGACGGCACTTGGGCGTTGGTGGGGACGTCCATGGTGGAGTTGGCAGCAAAGATCTTGGCTAGCACTTCCGCCTTGGCCTTCGAGTCGAATACAATAGTTCCATCCTGACACGTAAGTGGTGGAAGGCTACTGTGTGAGAAGTTCTTTTCAATCTGCTTGGCCAGCGTCCAGAAAGACCGACTGCCATTGCGCTGCGACATTACCCTGTGCCTAACTTTTATATCATGCTGGTTTTTGGCATTGCGAACCGCTTCGTTATATTTGTTTCTGGACTCGACGTCGGCTTGTCTGTTCTCTACAGTGGGGTTTTGTAAGTAGGTTCTGTGGGCCTTGATCTTCTGCTGGCGAGCAGTGTCACACGATTTGTTGAACCAGCCGTTGGACCCTGGTTCAGGAACTTTCACTTTGTGAGGGATGTATTCCTCCATTCCGACGTGGATAATTTCGGTTATTGAAGAACAGACAGTCGACGCATCCGCGTCAGTGAAACAGACATCTCTCCAAGGAAAGCTAGAGAAGAAGTCTCTGAGCCCCTCCCAGTCGGCATGTCCGTAATGCCAAGTTTTGCGGCCTGTGCGAGTTTCTGCTGCCACAGCGGCTTCTGACCGAAACCTAACCTCCACAACACCGTGATCTGAGTTACCCAGGGGGGACAGGACAGCAGTGCAGTAAGGGGCAGGATGCGTGGTCAGAAAGAGATCCAGCAGGCTACTGGCGTGTGACGAGACGCGGGGGAAAAAAGTAGGGCTCGTGACCAGCTGGGTCAGCCCTTGAGTAAGAGCGAACGCTTCGACTGCACGACCTGCTGCATCGGTCTTATTTGAGCCCAACCAAAGCTCATTATGGGCATTGAAATCACCGAGAAGAACTACCTCTGAAGCGGGGTGATTGATGTTCAGGAAGTCGATCTGGACGGCTAGGTATTCGAGTAGGTCATCCCAGTTATGGTTCGAGGGAGAGCGATAAAGGCAGCAAATAAATTTGGGTGATGTTTTGGAGCTGAGGCGAAGCCACAGAATGTCCTTCCGGTCTGATTCCAAAGAAAGATCCCTGGAGCAGGAAAGACTGCTGCGGACAAAAGCCACAACTCCCCCGTTCTTTCTCAGATTGGAGTGCACCTCGTAGTTTGGGAAGTTGAGATGGTTAATCGGTGCAGTCTCTGAGATTTTTGTCTCCGCCAAGAAAAGCACGGCGGGACGATTGGATTGCAGGTAGTGATGAACAGCATCAATGTTGCTGTTGATCCCGCAGATGTTCGAAAAACAAATTTTATCTTCGATGTTGTTCCCTCGAGCCCACCCTCCACCCGGACATTCCGAGAGTGGAGTGAGTTTGATTTTGATCAAATCATTTATTTCTTATCTATTCCAATTGACTTTGAGGATGCATTCGAATTATACTACATGCACCCAATACCTACAAAATATGGGTCAGAATTTATTTCGATTTTTCCAAATTTTAAATAGTTTTTGGCATCGATTGATAAGCAATCAATCAAACCTCTAAATGCCATTTGTACCAAAAGCAATATATACCACTGTCCTCGTCAAGCCCAAGCAAGCATGAATATATCTTGTGTAGCAAGCATTTTGAAAAACAAGAACGCGAAAAATTGCTATTTTACCAAGGTCAAGATAAGTGAAAGTCACATTGGACTCATACCAGAGATCAAGCAGTACCTAGCCGTTCTTCCAGTTCAAGAAAAGCTAGAGTTCCACTGTCAAAAGCAAACAGAATCAAGGTTCTTATCAGGCATATTCTTGATATCGCCAGATAACTGTACAATCTTGTTTAAAAACGAACCGATTACATTTCTGGACAAAAGTTTTGGCCAGCCGTTATTCATGAAAACGCTAAATTTCACTTACATTTCTGAAAGCCAGAAAAAGAAGTTTAAAATCGAGCTGAAGACTTCAAAGATGAAAGATATCCCAATCCAGTCATTCAGTCTAATTGAACCTGAAGATATCGATTATACCACACCGAGTGCTTGGACTATGTTCTTGTGCATTTTCCATTTACTTATTAACCGAAAGTTCAAGAAGAATAAGAATCCCACTCCCATTCCGAGGAAATCACCGAGAAATGATCGTGAAGAAATCGAGCTACCTTCCAGAAAACAACCTTCCAGGAGAAGCTTCATTCTAGGGGAGGATGAGTTATAGGGCTACCCTGTATCCTACTAGAAGATAGAACATGCAACTCAGCAGCTTTGCGCAGCGCCTGGCAACTGCGAGAATAATAATAATAATAATAAATCTTTATTTCAAAATAACAGTGCATTATTACTATGTATTACACACTGTTAATTGAATTATATGTCACAGTGTCATCGAGACAGAAAACACAAAGAGGCAAAACATATAACATAATAGATATTTTACATTTCAAAATATTGTTGAAGGTCATATGGTTCTAAGTGCATTAACAATTGATAAATACTCTTTTTATATTCTTTTATATCTGCAATATGTTATTTTCCTTTGTCTTATCATCTTATTCAAATGAACATTGTTCTTTACATTTTGTAATTCAGTTAGAATCTAGCCTTTAGGCCAATCACTACTTGTAATTTCGGAAATAAAATATTTTTTAAAAAGCACGCAAACTCGAAAATTATAAGTTATATTTAAAATATCCTAACTACCGACCGTTTATACATTAAAAACTCGCCCTGTATGTAGAAGCATCCTAGCTGAGGAGTCGTCAGAAGTGTCCGGTTTGATTGAATTGAGTTTGAATATCGCAGTAGTAAAGAATGCATGGCTAAAGTAAATATTTTTCTATTTATTGTGAATACTTCCGCCAATACGAATTTATTTTAAAACTTTCATGAATAAATAGTCGTCTATACTTCGTAGCTCATTTTTGAACAAACATATTCCTTTTTATTATTGGTTCACACAAACTACACGATATCATATGGGAATAGTATAATTTTTTGGATTGCAAATATTATCTGCGGCAGCGAACGTGGGAACACCGGCTGCTCCTGAGCATTGAAACCTCTTTCATTGTTGTAGTGGGGACATTTACATTCGACTTTCTCTCTGCTGTGCTTATACTGTTTTGTAGAAAAATTACTTACTAATCTAACAAGTAAACACAGTCAAGTTTTTAAAAATCGGTCCAGTGGCGGCAGAGAAAAATTCCTAAAACGAAAAAAATTAAAATTCTATGTTCTGACCACGGTGCCACATCTGCCTGGGTTAGGTATCGGGGAGATGCGACGTTTCCAGATGCACAACCTGTAGGGAAAGAACGTCTATGAACTAATTGTATGAACCTGTTTGACTGACTTTTTTCTCGGACGGTCTAGTTCGTGCTGAAGATATTCCTTTATGTACTGATAAGGGCGTTTCGTGGAAACAGCAGAGTCAACCTACTTAGCACCATTTTGTTCCAGGTGGCGGCATAAAAGAAGTGAGATACTAAACTTGCGAAAATCGATAATAACATTTTAGCTTGAATAAATTAATACAAGATTATATGACAAGTTAGAGAACGAAAATGGCCTATGCAAATTTGCTGATCATCTGGTCATGATCTTCATCCAGGTTGGGCACATTATATTTTTGGTCTATTATCAAAACTAGTCTGTAATTACTAAAAAACCAGTATTGTTCGTTATTTGTTATCTACTATTAACACCGTAACATAGTGTCCGACAAAACCAAAATTTAGGTTTCAGCTTTAGTTTCGGCCGTTAGGTGTTCTAAAAACCGTCTGTCATTTTTTTATATTCGATAATCAGTTTTTAAGACAAAGTTAAACTAACAAAACATAAATACAATTCTCTCACAAGAAATAAAATAATGTCTTCTAAGTTTGGGACTTTTGGTTATTACTCAGCCTGTTATAAAATACGGACAATAGAGTTCTTTTTCATCAGCTCTGTATAAAAAACAAAATAAAGACGATGTAGGGAACATTTATGTACACATATTTGCATACACGTTTTGTACAACTGCGTGAACAAAAAAATTGAATTCTGGCAGCAGACAGTTATTGAAAGAAAAACGCAAGTTAAACAGTTTATTTAACTGTAAAAGCCCAACCATTTTTTTAATTTTTTTGTCCTTTTCTCTTCCACCACTGAACCGATTTTCAAAAACTACAAGGCTTTTGCGTCCTTAGCATAGTAGTAACATTGTGTAAAAATTTCTTCGAAATCCAAGCGGTGCTTCTCAAGTTATAGGCGGTTTATAGGATTTGCTGACTGACCAAGGGAAATGAGTAACATGGTTTTTCGTGATGTACATGGAAACACACATTGGAAAAACATTTTCGAAAATTTTCGCGATTACAATACTGCCTCGCCAGTAAATATGGGAAGTAAAAAACAAATTATATGAAAGGTGTGCTTCTTGATTCTTGATTACAGAGTCTCTCCGAATTAGGGTAAAGAGTTATCACGTTTCGAATATGACCGAGATTGTGTGTTACGTTAGCGACTGAGTGCACTTAACAATGCAATACAAAAAAACAATTAGATATGTGTCAAAATATCAGCTTCCGAAAAATTAAATAGTCGTGGAATTTTCTACCGAAAACTGAAACTAAACCGAAACTCGGATCTTGGACTAAAACTGGTCGAAACCGAAAGTTCGGTTGTACACTACCGTAAAACTGCATTTGTATGTTGTAAATAAGATTAAACCCATTACTATTATTTTTTAGAGCAATTTGGTGGCAGTGATGATCGACCTCTTCCGGCAAATGACAAATGAGCATTACACAAAATACATAAGCACATTCAAAACAAATTTCGACATTCTAGATTTCCTAATGGAAATTCTAGTTGTGTTCAAAGAGCTAGTCAGTAATTCCGTGTTTCCGACGGATTGGTGCGACATGATCATGCTGCAAAACAGTGTGATTCTGAAGTCGCTTAGGTACTTCTCACAAACGATTAGAGACTGCTTCTTCCAGAAGTTTGAACATGACGCATGGAGCAATTTTTTTCATTGCGCCATTGCATTCATGACCCAAGATGCACTGCAGCTGGAGAATTTTTCTTACAATAAGAGGATTCGGATCATTAGTCAGTACAACGATATGCGTAGAGAAACAGGATTTGAAATCAGATCTATGTGGTTCACTTTAGGTAAGACTTGTCATATAAACAAACATCAGTATCAATATTATGTATTTATTTGGGAAGGGAAAAAATGAGTTGTTCTTTTAATCAATGGCTTCACTATCCCCGAGAACGTTTCGACTTATGATCCGAAACACATACCAACTTTTCTTAACGTAAACCGCGCCAGGAATTATTTAGTCTTTATTCAGAGTTTTGAAGATGTCATAGATATTTCAGTTTAACTAGGATTTTATTGAGTTAACTGCCAAATAGGCCAGCATATCTAGAATTTCAGAAAAAAGAACTATGTATACAAATTTTATGACGGAATTATTCTTGAAGGTAAGTGGAAAGGATCATCATCTAGAGATACAAACAAATTTGCTAGGCAACTTTTCTATAAATCACCAAAATCACTTTTACGCATATACTAAAAAAACTTGAAGTAAATAGGTAAATTATGACATAGCTTCGACATTTAGGGTCCTACACTATTACTGTATTACACGATTTAGTTCAGTAACAAATGTATGCTTGGAGATTTATTTTTTCTAACCTGAAATTGCCTATTTGACCAATCATCAGGGTGTTTGAAATGGTTGGCAGTTATCTGGACAGCCTCCCATCAATTTTACAATATCATAAGAGGATGTAAAATGACATATTTTAGTGTAAAAAATTAATTTTTTTTGCGCCAAAAAATTTCTACCCCACTGATATCTTTCAATGTTATTATTGGTTACTATCTTGTCGTTTTAATGAAAAACGCTTCCTCTACGGAGCAAATAATAAGAAAGTAAGAGATGGTTTTGAGGTATACAGGATCAAATAAGAAAAATATTCACTTTGAAAAATATCAGTGGCATATGTTTTTTTTGTGTAAAAAATATCACAAGACATGTTTACAGGGACGCCACTGATTGCGCAATAGAGTGACTATGTATGTTAAAATATGCAATTTTACATCCTCTTATAAAATGCAAAATATAAAAATATCTAAAGCACTTTCGAAGGTATAAAATAAATAGTTTTTATTTTTTGAGTATTAGCGCATTATTAAACAACGTACACGTGAAGTAGTGAGTGAATCTACTTAAAACCATTGTTTTAAGGAGTATGTTGCTTTAATAAAGTTATTTTTTTTCATATGATGCATAATGTACGTATATGTATTCATATATCATTCTAGACTTTTAAATTTACCACCACGTTTTCTCTTTGCTCTTTTTTTTCAAACTTCATTGACGTTCATATTGGCGTTTGTTTATGCGGTTTGTATAGGTATATATATATATATATAACTTGAGACGTGGTCATTGTCGTCTAGACCAGTTAGGTGAAAAATTAAAGCTTCCGCCTTTTGTTGGGTACTTCGACAAAATTTAAGCAAAGAGGACTCTTTATACTTTCTTTAATTCTCTCTAGCTTTCAATGGACTTTGCCATCATCATCAGGAGAGTAGTATGTGAGGATGCTGCTAATTGCTGTTTTCGTATAGGATGAGGGAAACGTCCAGTAACATGGTGAGAGCTGGATACATGGTACAATGGTTAAAATTATATAAAATATGACAAGACAAGTTAAAGACAGATTAAAAATTTTGTCGAAGTACCCAACAAAAGGCGGAAGTTTTAATTTTTCACCTATATATATATATATATATATATATATATATATATATATATATATATGTGTGTGTATATATATATAAATGTGTATATACAGGGTGTTCGCAAAGTTGGGGTTTTCCTTTACACGACGTGTAGATCTTGAAAACATACATACATGTATACATCAATGTCTTAAGGGAACCGAGATAAAGGGCTCTGCAACATCAAAAATATCTGAATACCGTCCTGTAGCCGCGATATCACCGAGTGGTACAAGGTCACTGGCTCAACCCGACGACACAACTGGGTCGGGGTCAGTGTGTCAGGTCAGTATGCAACCTTCAACCGACGGTTACAGTCACGCGTGTAGAGGTAATCGCGTAGACGAGAATCCCTCAACAAGCACTAGAGACGTGGCTAGAGAAGTACAAGTATCAAAAACTAAAGTGTGGCAAACGCTGCGTGAAGAGGGGCTGTATCCGTTTTACATCCAACGTGTACAAGCCCTTCAACCTGACGATTTTCCAGCAAGAGTGCGGTTTTGTGAGTGGTTGTTGCATCAACATGACAATAATCCGGACTTTTTGAAGTGCATATTGGTGACAGACGAATCTACGTTCACGCGTAATCGGGGTAAATAACTTTCTCAACACTCATGTTTCGTCAGTAGAAAATCCGCACGCTGTCCGTCGGGCACATTTTCAACAAACATTTTCGGTGAATGTTTGGGCTGGCATGGTGAACGGTATGCTCATTGGACCATTTATTCCAAATCGATTGGACGGGATGCAATACCTAGACTTTTTACGAAACATTTTGCCTTCCTTGTTAGAAGATGTGCCATTAAGTGTAAGACAATCAATGTGGTTTCTGCGTCTGCTCGGTAGCGCATCAGTTGATTTCATTTTCTGTTGGAGCGGTATGATTTCGGGCAGAGACGTACTTAGCCCTTCTCGTCAACTGGAGAGTGAGTACTTTTTCCTTTATTTTTTTTTACTTGGTCGCCCTCGTTTCACTACACATTACCTTTGTTATTTCAAGGGTAGTTGATTCTGAAAAGGAATACCCCAATTTTGCGGACACCCTATATATATATATTAGAGACCGACCGAAGTTTCGGTTTCGGTTTCGGCCAAGTTTCGGCCAAAAAACCGGTTTCGGTCGAAGTTCCGGTTTCGGCAGCAAATTGGCCGAAACTTTCGGCTTGGCCGAAACATACGATCGTAAGGTCTGGGGGTATGTCCGGTTGTAGTCGGGCGATCGCTTCGTGTCCGTACGCGTTTCATCACGTCACTTGATCTTCGCCGACAAGCTGGTCACGCATTTATTACATTTATTAGGTAGTGTGCGTATTAAATAAAGGTAAGTATTTAGTAATTATGTATTCTGGATATACTATATTATAATTATTGATAATTTCTATTTCGAAATAAGAGGGAGAGTAATAAATCATCAGTTTACACCAGGTTCTGCAGTAGGTCATACGCGTAGAATATTACACAATTATCTCAGTAACAGCAAAGAAAAGCTCATAAAACTTTACTGTAATTAATGAATAATTACAATGAAGATCAATAATATTAGTTCAATTTATATTTGATTATCGAGTGAAAACTGAAAATTATCTGTTTCAGATAGAAATGTCTCAAAGAGAAAGAAATCCTATTTGGCAGTTTTTTGAAAAGAGCACAAATGATTTATCTAAGGCAGTTTGCAAAATCTGCAAAAAGTCGCTCTCATTAGGAAGTCAAGAACCCAAAAAACAAACACTATATGGAGTGAAGCAGCATTTAAGTAAGTTCCATGGCACAGAACACAAACAAGTTTTAAAGCGGCAGTCTGAATTAGAGAACATAAAAAATGAACTAAACATACAAAAACGAACTAAAGTCTCTCTAGCGGTTTTAGAAACTGATAAGGGTAATCAACCTACCCTGGTCCAGTCGACCATTCCGAGTTTGGCTAGACCTAAATGTGTACAATGGCCAGATGATCATGAAATTTCACGGAGAATAGACAAAGCGATTATGGATTTGATGATTGTCGATATGTTGCCGTATTCGTTGGTCAGTGGTGAAGCATTCCAAAGACTTAATTTTGCTGACCCTGATGCTTTTCATAAATATAGACTGAAGAGTGAAAAATTTTTCCGAACAACATTAATGCCGCAAACTTACGAACGAGTAAAGGCTAAAGTCAAAAAATTAATCGCAAAATCCGATTGGTTCAGTGTGATTGCCGACATATGGACCAACACTAGCAAATCATGTTCCCTTCTCAGTCTCACAGGTCATTTCATTATAGAGCATCAACGCCTGAAAGTTATATTAGGCGCAGCTGTTATGGAACAAGACCATACGAGTCAGTACATTGAACGAAAATTTACGGAAATGATCAATGAGTGGAACTTAAATTGTAAGATTTTTTTAGTGTTGCGTGATAATGCCGCAAATATGGCATGTGCAATGCGGACAGGACACTATGAGTCTCTTGGCTGTGTATCGCATACGCTGCAATTAGTGATCAAGCAATCGTTATTTGCTGATGAAGACACCACAGAAATTATAAAAAAATGTCTGCTCTGGTTCAAAGTATTGATATAAGATGGAACAGGACCTATTTGATGTTTCAGAGGCTGTTAGAGCAAAAAAATGCTATAAACCTCTACACTGTTCAGCATGGTAAAATAGATACCCTTTGTCCCACCGAATGGGAAATTATGAAGCGACTCGTCGAAGTATTGAAGTTCTTTTACGAAACCACCCTTGATTTATCATTGAATGACGCTTGTAGTTCTATAATCATACCTCTAATATCGCTACTCAATCGGAAATTACAAGCTCGAATGGAAAACGAAGATGAGGGTATGACAATGACGAAAAATCGGTTATATGAGACAATGAACCAAAGAATGTCCCTCTTGAAAGAGCATCCATCGTTAATTGCAGCAACATTGCTGGACCCACGTTTCAAATCGAAGTATCTAACTCCCAATGCTGTTGACATCGGAATCACAGAAATTGTATCTTTTTTGATCAGATGTAGTAGCGACAGCGCGGTGAACAGAAATGCTATTCATTCTTCTTCTGCAGAACCAGTGCTGGTTGAATCCAATATTCAGAAACAAGACGAAAGTCTTTGGGATACCCATGACGATAACCCCGGCGGTACACCATGTGATAATAATGGATATGATGAAACTTCTATACTAAAACAAACAATCGAGTGCTATTTGTCGGAGCCGCGACTACAGCGGAATGCCGACATATTTTCTTATTGGAACTCCAGCCCCTACCCGACGTTGAGGAAAGCGGTGTTGAAATACCTGTCTGCACCACCGACCAGTATCCCCAGCGAGCAAATGTTCAGTGCTGCTGGGCAAATATATGCAGATCGGCGAAGCAATTTGCTAGGAGAAAATGCGGAAAAACTACTTTTTTTATCATATAATATATAAGGCTTTTTGGTTATGTTTACTAGTTGATTGTCAATTTCTATATAGAAAATCTATTTTGAGTTAAAAACTTTTAGTTGTTTTGGTGATGTTTATGGACATACATGTTTGTTTTCATATAAGTGCAATGTAATAGATAATAGATATTTATTTATGATTCGTTTTGTTATATTATTCTAGTATTTCAACTACCAACATGTTAATGGAATACATTCTTTTATTTCAGAAATTAACTTTTGTGTTTTTTCAAGTACCTAACCTTACTGAACAAGAAAAACATACATTATGGGAGATACGTTTTCAAAGACCTTTAATAACTTCGTAAACCTCTAAAATCGAAGAATCATGTACATCCTCATTCTTTTTTTTTATACTCCAACTACCACGAAGGCCTAAGGCCTAAACACCCATGGGGTTCTGTGGGGCTACAGGAGGATACAGGGGGAACGCCACACGGACTCTGGCGAGGGAACACGTGTGCATGCAACATGCACACATTCTGGCCCCGCCTACGAAATCCGTCGGGTGGTACCTCCGCGTTCGACAGTCAGATACCGTCTACCACCTACGGACAATCACAACATCCATAGAAAAGAGAAAAATTTCTCCTGGGACGGGATTCCAACCCGCACAGCGCACGGCGACTGATCAGGAGACCGAAGAGTCTACTACTGCGGCCACCGCTGCTGCCCATAAGTCAAAGGAAAGTTTCTGTTTCGGTTTCGGCCGAAACCAGGACGGAAGCCGAAGGTTCGGTTCCGGTTTCGGTTTCGGCTGAACATCAAGATTCGGTCGGTCACTAATATATATATATATATATATATATATATATATATATATATATATATATATATATTATTCTAGACTTTCTTTTTTTTAAATTTACTACCACGTTTCTCACTTTTATATCTTATTTTTAACAAACTTACATGCTGTTCATATTGATGTTTGTATATGCTTGATAGATGTATTCACTGGCATAATGTTTCTTACAATTTCAAGGGATGAGTGGCAGAGCACTAGATAGTAAAATCCTCCTTGTGGTTTTCAGCCAGTCGACATCTGTTTTATTTTTTTTTATTTTCCTTTTTTTTCTTATTACTCATGTTTCTCCTTCTGATATATATATATATATATATATATATATATATATATATATATCAGATATATATATATTGAGAACTGTTTGGAAATAAAGGCATTTATTATTATTATTTATTTGAATAGAAAAGAGAAAATAGCTGTTTGAGATCCGACTCGAATCGGAGCCAGCTGCGCGGTATGCAGATACCTTACTCATTACACTGTCTCCGTGTTTAATAATAGCTTTTTAAAATGTCCATGTAAAATAAATGTTTGTCGAAATTTTCATCTTTATCTGCATTATATAATAATAATAATCTGGCTTTATATATACAAAGTATAAAAAGGCGAAGTGTCGCTACAATGCGTTTTTCAACTTAACCCATTTTAATAGTATTTTTGAGTGTATGTAAAATGTTTGTTAAATTACTGTATTTTTTCAGGTCAAAACAAGGTACAATTCGTTCCCTCCTTAGTAGGACTTATACTCGAGATGACTTTAATTCCCGAAACCGAGCTTCGAAAAGCAACCATTCCCATCTTTTTCGATATGATGCAATGTGAATTTTACTCTAGTCGTTTCGAAGTAGAAAGTTATGGCGACACAAAAAGGGACTCATCTCACATCAAAGCCAACTTCAGTGACTTCGAAAACGAGATGATCGTCAAACTAGATGTATTGTTCGAAGGAGGGAAGGGGGATTACGAGTATAAAAATCTATTCCATGATGTTATGTTAGAATTGTGCGGGAAACATACAACTATGCATGAAGAGGGAACCAAGTTCGTGAAAATTGTGTCGAGGTTGATGGAAAGTCTGTTGGAGTATAGGAGTATTATTATAGATGAGAATAAAGAAAATACCATGAGTTGCACAGTGAATTTACTGGTAAGATAATAGTAATAATGTTTTTATTCATAAAGTTACAGATTGTGATTCATTATGGCGAAGTTTAGCTAAAACTATTTTACACTTTACACCATAAGAATACAAAGTAAAGATGGCAAATAAGTACAAACATTAATAGACTTTCTCATTCATTTCTCACACATTAACATTCATACTAAACAAATTAGTCACTCATCTATGCATCCAAAAACTTGCAATTAAAGTACTCAGTTATTTGCTACGTATAATATAAAAAGACAAAGTTGTACAATTAAAAGAAAAACTATAAGGTGGAGCTCATTAATGTGGAGTGCTATGTTTTCTTCGGCACGGTATCATGTAAAAAACCTATAAAACGTCACAAAAAATATATAAGATGTCATCTTGCAAACTAGGTAGTTTTTAGGGCAAGTCATTCAACGTTTGCTCACTAGGATCGTTGAAAACGTCCATCTAAGGAGGAATCACTCAACTAAACTACACGCATTATTGGTTGCATATGTTTTGTGAGGCCAAATGGTCCTTGTCTGTAGTTTTTATCTCTGAGAAGAAAGTTGGTTGAATAGCAAGATCGCATCTGGATGATTATGTGTATTGGTCTGCATGTGTATAAAATCAGTGATATTTGGTGTGTGAGAAAATCATTACTGAATATGCTGCCAGTGAAGTATATCTAATCGCTGTGCCCGACGGGTTATTTTTATGTATGTAAGAAAAGGTGGATGCGCAAATAATTTCTATCTTTGAATCTCAATTAAATGTATTTGAGACAAGAACCCAATGTAATTATCATCAACACATACAACTTACGGCTTAGACCTCCAGTAATGCCATCTCAGAAGCAGATTTTACATCACATCAGAGCCAAAGATTGATAACAAGCCTCATGACGTTTAGGCAACACGTACAACTAAGTGCTAATGTCCAAAAAATCGGCATAATGTCACTTTTCAAGATACGCGACACCCGCGCGGATATACGACAATAGATATTATCTGTCCCAATTGGTAGGTATGAATCACAATCACACTATGGTGTGGTATGTATGTAGGAATTACAATTTGTCAGAAAACATCGATGTTTATATATCAGTAAATATCACCATCATAACATTGATGGCTTCGTCATATCAAAACGAATACATCAATAGTATAAATTCAGCCAATGAAATCAAATAGATTAGAAGATAAATTGTGTAGTCTTTGTGCATACTTTTTGATAATTTGTGTACCATTGCCTGCCAAAGTGATAACCCATGCATCAGAGTACTTTTTTTCTCTGGAAAGGATATTGAAGTTGAGCAAGGCAGCAATACTATGTGTTGCTGTGTGAGTCGCTCAGTTATTTTTAATAATCTGGGATAATTAAGGCACGGGTATTACGTATCTTCAAAAGTGACATTTTGTCGTTTTTTTCTAACATTCCGTAGGTTTTTTATGGCATAACGTAAGCTTTTCTACAAGATATTAACTTAGCACAAACTGGTGTACACTAGTAGTGAACTTGTTTTGTAGCTGAAAGTGTTGCTTAAACGTCAGGGAACAGCGATCATAGCGAGCAACCGTGAAATGAACTATTTCCACACTAAAAGCTACCTAGTCTGCAAGATGACATTTCGTCGTGTTTTACGTTCTTTAGTTTTTTTTACATAATACCCCTGCGGTATAGCATATGAACAATTAAGAAGTTTCCTATAGTCGGAAATACTGCAAGTTTCACTTGCATATTTCAATCAGGAAAATATGACATTATCTGTGTTGGGTGTTCTAGCCGATCGCCCTTACGCGTCGAAATTGGGTCTTGCATACCGCTTTCATCCATATCGCTCAAGCTGACCAGACGCAATATATTGTTTGTCGGTGGTTTGAATCCGCATATACAAGTATAATAAATAAAATGGAAAAAGGTTTTCTGCGTCCCGATTTCACTAATATTCCAAAGGTGGACAAAATAATAGTTAATGGTTAAATATATATTTGCTTTGACACGCATTAACATTTGATAAGCATGCTATTCAAAATATAGCAGACTCTAATGGACTTTTTGAATTCACTAATTACGAAAAGATATCAAATACATATTGTTGCAGTGTGGTGTCATGTGTCGATTGGCGAGTAATACAATGTCATATCCATAATATACACACTTTCGACTCCGCAATCCATTTTACCACATCTCAATACAGCCGATTATTGTAAAACGTGGCTATTATACAATTTTTTTGTACTTATTGTTAGGTTTTTGGTTTCTGAACCACTCCTATGCATCTCCACGTCAACACATACAGGGTTAAAGGAGAATTCCCCTCCAGCATTATGAAAATACTTACAGTATCTCCAAATAAAAGAAGTAATCAAATCTATTTCCGTTCTCGTTTACACCAATTGAGTTATTTATCCATCATAATAGGCTCATACACTACTATTTATTTTGATCCGTTTTACCATATCAACGAAACTCAAAAAAAGATATTTACGAGGTGGTCTCCAATCTGAGGAAGAATGAGCGAATTGTGTCTTTCGTCCGCAGCAGTCTTTCAGGTTCCAGAGACATTTCTTTGGAATCGGATCGGAAGGACATTCTGTGGCTTCGTCTAAATTTTAAAACAGCCCCTCAATCTGTTTGCTGCCTCTTTATCGCTCTCATTCGGATCATAACTGATCTATTTGAATACTGCGCTGTCAATATCGACTTCATGAACATCAAACACCATGCTTCAGGTGTAGTTCTCCTTGATGATTTCAATGCCCAAAATGAGCTCTGGTTGTGCTTAAATAAGACCGATGTAGTATCTCGTGCTGCTGAAGCGTGTGCTATTTATTACCCTAACCCAGCTGGTGATGAATCCTGCTTTTTACTCCCGCGTTACTCCAGTAGTCTGCTGGATCTGTTTCTGACCAAGCATCCTGTCTCTAACAGCACTACTGTCCTGCCTCTCCTGGGTAATTCAGACCACGGTATTGTGGAAGTTAGGTAGAATTTGGAATTACGGACATTCCGACTGGGAATGGTCCAGACTTTTTCTACACCTTTCCTTCTTTCCTTGGATATATGTTTGTTTCGCTGACCCGGATCCGTTGGCTTCTATTCATCAATAACAGAAATAGTCCACGTTGGGATGGTTGAATACGTCCCTCATACAGTGAAAGTACCTGAACCAGGTTTCATACGGCTGGTTCAACAGATCGAGCTACACTGCTCGTTAGCAGAATATCAAGGCATACAGAACCTTTTTACAAAATCCCACTATAGAGAACAGACAAGTTGACGTCTAGTCGAAAAACAAATATAACAAAGCGTTCCCCAATGCCAAAAACCAGCACGATGTAAGAATTGGGCATAGGTATGTGCCAGGATGGAACAATTGTAATCGACTCAAATGCTAAGGCGGAAGTGCTTGCCAAGAGCTTTGCTGCCAACTCCATTGTGGACTACTACTACCAAGGGATAATATTACCTTGGCGTGCAGTTTGAAGAATGTTGTGTTCATTGCAGTTTTGCCAAACTATTAAGCATACTATAACCATTGCATTTGTTAATTTAATTCCTTGTGTTCTAGGATTTTTATTCAGAAATCAACAAAAAAGAAATGTATATTAGGTACCTGAATAAGCTGTTTGATCTACACTTGGAGTGTGAAAATTTCACTGAAGCTGCTTACACTCTAGAGTTACATGCCAAACTTTTAAATTGGTCCGATGAACTTTTATCGCCTCTATTGAAGGGGGATAAATACGATAATGCTAGAACCCACAGAGAACTCAAGGAGGCCTTATATTACACTATAATTGAAAATTATAGTAAAGGAAAGGTACGATCATAGATATAGTAAGCTAGAAGCTGTGTGCCTATGCAATGCATCAGTCTAAAAATAAATATCTTTTAATATTTGTCAAATTCAGTCAAAGTGACGGTTCGCGCCAAGACTGCGACTTAGTATCGAGTCGCAACACTAGTGACGTAGCAGTTGTACAGAAAATCTGTCATTGTGACTATGAAATATTCGCATCCATATTTGAATATAGGTCTATATATTGTATTATATACTGTCATTTTTATTTTCTTGGACACCTCTTTTTATTGATAAAACCTTTACTCATCGCATAGTACAAGTTGCTTGCCTTTCCTATCCTTTTAGAAATTTCTATTTCATTTCTGCCGTTAGGTTCCAACATAGCTCACAGATATTTAAAGGAGTGTACCTGTTGTAATTTTACATTATCTATTCTTACGTTCATATTGAGTTTTTCATTTGACACAGCCATAACTTTAGTTTTAAGTTTATTTAGTTTCATACCATTATCTTCAAGTACTTCATTCCAAATGTTTAAATTTTCCTGTAGACTTAAATCGTTCAATTTAAATGTTAAATCAATATTGAAAAGAAAATGATCCTTCATATCGCATACAGTATGTTACCCTTAGTATTACACAGCCGGTATCATAGGTAGTATAATTGGCGACGCTGGCTTTGATTCGATTCGACCCGTTTAAACTCGCTATGATGTCTCAGCTGTGTTCTTTCCATTTTTGAACGATACTTATATTACGCCGTAAAAATACATTATAATGCATTATTTAGCTACAATGAGTGAGCAGCTAGAACTTCCCACTATTTGATGGAAGTTGGAAAATCGCAAGTTGAATGTTTCCATCTGCTGCTAAATCGTAGGCAACTATGATTTATCGTGGCAACTTCATAACACAATTAGGAACCAAGCAAATTGACCATGAATTGGTAGTGATCCCAGCAGACCATTAGGCTGCAAATGGTTAATGTTGTATTTTATGCTTGTAGATGTGGGAATGTGCAATTAAAAAATGTCAAGAGCTGGCACAACAGTATGAGCAAGAAACATTCGATTATGAACGGCTCAGTGATCTCCATCAAAGAATGGCTCTCTTTTATGAAGATATAATGAAGAAAGCTAGGGCTGAGCCAGAATATTTCAGAGTAGGATATTATGGCAGAGGCTTTCCAAGGTTTCTACAAAACAAAGTCTTCATTTATAGAGGAAAAGAGTACGAAAGATTGGCTGATTTCAATGCTAGGATACTGAATGAATTTCCTAAGGCCGAGTTGTTGAATAAGTTAACGCCTCCTGGTGAAGATATCACTTGTTCAGATAAACAGTGTATCCTTTTGCTTACATGAGAATAGTATTTTCGGAAAAATATTACATCGGATTATCAATATCTTGCTTGCAAACGTATTGTTTTTTTTTCACAATTTTCTATGAACAGAAAGCGGCAAAACTATTTTAGGCATGAAAACTTTTATACCCTATAGATTCTTTCTATACGCCTTTCTTGCCTGAAGCGCCAGGTTCCCCAAAAACCACATACCCACCAAAGACCCTCGGTAGTTCTCATGTACTCCGCCACGGAAGAACATTACAGAATCCGTCATAGTGGGTAGCGTGACAGGCGGCAACACTTGTCCTTCAAGGTGTAAAAGTAAGCCTTCTCGTTAATTCTCTAATGTAATAAGGTTTTTGACGCATATTCCTTACAATTTGATACTAATTCTGTGGTGGATGTCGAGGTGTAATCATAGGTGTCAACATATTTTAGCTACTGAAAATTTGATCGTGCTAAGGTGGAGAACACTCAGTTGCTTGATAGATTTTTTATCAACATTTATACGAAAAATAATATTAGAATTCAATGTTGACTGCAAGATTGATGTTAGCAGCTAACAAACTTAACAGATTCCAAACAATAATAAAAATTGATAAAAACAAGTTCATAAAATTCTTGTTACCATTTTTCTCTGGTATACGGAAATTTGATCAAATAAGTGATGTGTTCAAAGAGAATTGTAAAATGAACATGGAGAATGTCAGAAAATACCAAAGTGTATGTAAGAGCTTCTCGTATACTACTGCCAAGTTATGCAATAATTTTCCATATGAATTTCGAAATTATACTTTGAATAATTTTAAAAAGAAGCTGAAGTCGTGGTTACTCAGCAGTACGAGGGGGCGGTTTAATAAGTATCCGTGTAAAAAATGAAGACCATTTTCAGAAAAAAAAAATAAATTCCAACATAGTTCCCTTTTAGAAAGATACACTTTTTTCAATGTTCCTGCCTTTTTTTAACCTCTTCAAAAAATAGGATTTGTTGAACTCTCCAAAATACGCCTCTGTCTCGGCGATGATTTCCTCGTCTGAGCTAATTTTTTTTCCCGCGAGCTATTTCTTCATGTTAGGGAACAAGAAAAAGTCGCAGGGAGCCAGATCGGGTAAATTGCGACAGCACTTCATAACGCAATTCATGCAGTTTGGCGGCAACAACTCCGGATGAATATGCTGGTGCGTTATCGTGGTGAAACAGCACCTTCATTTTCGCCAAATGTGTCCGTAACTCCTTCAGTTTTTTGTCGAAGCGGTCCAATAACTCACTGTAGTTATGCAATGATCGTTCTTCCTTTTTCTAAAAAAACCATGCTGATGACGTCGTTCGCATCCCAAAAAAATCGTCGCCTTGACCTTTCCGGTCTATGGGACCGTCTTCGCCTTCTTTGGGGCAGATGCTTAGTTTCTGGTGTGTAATGATGAATCCAGGTTTCATCAACGGTGACAACTCGACCCAAAAATTCCTTCAGATTTCGCTTAAATTGCTCCAAACACTGCTTCGAAGTTGACAGCCGCATTATTAACATGTAAAATATTCATTGCCGTTCCGGTCGACACACCTACGGCCTGTTTCTTCGCGTACTTTCGTTCGTCGATCAGCGAGAATCATGTCGAGGACTTTTTGAATGATTCCCTCGGTAACCACGTCTGCCGGGCGTCCTGGTCGCTCCTCATCAAAAACGGATGTTCGTTCACGTTTAAATTCGTTGAACCAATATCTAACTGTGGTCATAGATGGCGAAGTGTTCCCATAAACAGCATCCAACGTTGCTTTTATCTCCTCGCATTTTTCCCATCCAAAAACAAAAAGCGAATTACCGAACGATAACGCTCTTTTTCCATCTTAGCGAAAATCACGATACACTTGTAAATCCGCGTACAGACCCAAAATCCAATGCCGAGCAAACGAATGCAAGCACATGTGACGTTGACGTTTGTTGTTGGAAGGTATTGGAATGCGCTCGTCTAAACCTAAATTTAGTTTCGATTTGGACCGCGTTGGATTAAGTTCGGTGCTAATGTCGAGCGTCCGAGTCTCTTATCGAATGCAGACAAACGACTAAATGCTAGAAGCACAAAAAATCCCGTCCAGACCAAATCAAACGTCCCTTTGATGTACCGATCAAGGAGCGAACGCAATCGATGCCCAACGCCGGCCTTGGAAACCGTTGGCTTATGTTGGCTCGCGCCGTACACACCGATTCGAACACCTCCAAATCTGTCTGTAACCACATGTGCCTTGGCTTGTGTTGGAATCTCGGTCTGTACGCGGCATTACTCGAATGGCTGCCAAATCCAAACGAACCTATCCATCAGTCTGAAATTTGTCGTTTGATAGATGGCAGCACACGATGTTAAGACCAACTTCCCTCAGGAACGCCCTCTATCGTCAAACACGGGTACTTATTCAACAAGCCTCGTACATAATCACTCCCTCACCACTCTGCCACCCAATCTACCTTCATAGTTTTGAATTAAATTGGTCACATACAATATATATTTGTCTAGGTTTAAAAGAACGTATAAATCTATAGTGATAGATCGCTAATAGATCACTTTATTATTCAATTTTGAGCCATTTAAAAAGGTCAATGTCATATTAGGATGTACGGTTGAGTTGACAAATTTCAATTCTTTATTTGTGTTAAGTACACCAGCGTGTTTACACAAGTCAAAAGAAAAACAAAATTAATACAAAAAAGCAGTCTGACAAAAGACTGATGTTCAAATTACACAGAAAAACATCAACTTATGACATTATGATTCAATAAAAACAGATACAGTCCATAAAAGTTGTAAAAACAGAGGACATATATACGTACATAGATACACGCATATTCATTTAACCACAATATGTTTACTTCTACACACACACACACACGCACACACACACACCTATACACACATACACACATATACGTTAAAATGGTAACACATATGAAATGTTGATATAAAAATTTACCAGATGACTTAGTAGAAAGTTCAAGGAGCCTAGAGGATCCCAGGTGTAGGAACCTAGTTGTATTTGCTAACAATCCGACAAGTCTGAAAAATTGTTGCTCAAATACTCGTTGATCGAGTAAAATGCTTTAGTAGTCAGATAAGCATTAACTTTATTTTTAAAAACTTTCGCATCCAGTTTCTTTATACGGTTTGGCAACAGGTTATAAAAAACTATCCCATAAAAGTTTGTGCCGTTCCTGGTGGTTTGGAGACGGCTATGAGGTACTAAGATTTTATCCATATTTCTGGTTCTATAACTGTGGACATCACTGTGGGTAGTATATTGACTCAGGTTAGTCTTTATATACATCAGACATGTGAAGATGTAAAGAGAAGGTACTGTCATGATTTTCATTTCTATAAAAGCTTCCTTGCAAGGTTCCGTGTATTTGAGGCCAGCAATGTACCGCAAGCAACGTCGTTGTAATCCAAAAACTTTTGACGAATGGGCCGAGTGACCCCAGTTTAACAATGCGTATGAAATTCTTGATTGAAAGTAGGAATAATATGTTAGAAGAAGAACTGACTGAGAGACATTTTGTTTCAAGTTCCTTATCAAATATATATATTTTGCTAGTGCATTGAGAACATGGATTACGTGAGTTTCCCACGACAAGTGTTCATCAAGGTAGACTCCTAGTAACTTCACGGACTTTAGTGTATTAGTGTCGTGCTGCCTCAAGCTAAGAATAATCATCTGAGACTTGGTTTCATTGATGGTCAACTTATTAGCGGTTAACCAGTTTGCTAGTTTTCTTTTATGAGCTTCAGAGTCGAATATCAATGAGGCTAAAGAGGCATTGCTATTCATCAAGGTAGTGTCATCAGCGAATAGGATTAAGTTATTATTCACATTATAGTTAGTTATATCATTGACGTAAATTAAAAATAAAATAGGTCCCAATACCGAGCCTTGCGGTACCCCGTGAGCAGCGACTAACTGTGAGGATGATGAACCTTTAAAGAATACAAATTGGCGTCGATTACTCAAGTAAGATTTAATCATTGCAGTGGATGTTTCATGAAAGTTATAAAAAGGGAGCTTTTCCAACAGGATGTCGTGTTGAACACAATCAAAAGCTTTGGACAAGTCCAACAAACATGCTGCGCCATATAGGTTGTTTACAAAAGTCTCGTTCACAAACTGAATAAAACTGTTAATAGCTGATGTGGTGGAACGATTTTTCCTAAAACCAAACTGTGTTGAGCAAAATAGATTATTAGCCTCAAAGTATTCATTAATTTGATCTTTCAACAATAATTCCAAAATTTTCGCAAAAATAGGTATTAAGGAAATGGGCCTGTAGTTGCATAACTCTTCAGTATCCCCTTGTTTGAAAATGGGTATAATTTTAGATAGTTTGAAAAAATCCGGAAAAGTATTACTTTCTATACACTGATTGAATAACTTGGTTAGAGGATATATGATGAGATTTTGCAAGGTTTTGACAATCCTGACAGTAAAGCCATATGGATCAGTACTCTTTGAGTTTTTTAGTTTATTTATGGCAGTTCTCACATCATGATATGAAACTTCCCTGAAACGAAAGTGTGAACTATGAGTAGGATGATTCATATAATGCGATGGAGAAACATCGGATGGGGTAATTTTATTTAAAAGTTTTTGTGCGATATGGTTAAAAAAGTCGTTGAATTGATGTGCTGTGAGAGATGTTGAGGAGTCCTGGTTGTGCACGTTCGGTTTAACATTCTTTATAATATTCCAAGCAGCATGTTGTCTGTTGTTGGATTTATTAATGTAGTCATCATTGGCTTTAATCTTAGCTTTGACAATTTCTTGTCTGTAACTGTATTTAAATTGTTTCAAGCAGTCCGTACTAACTAAAGTAACATCGTCTTATGAAGCTCTGTTAGGAAAGTCAAAGTCTCTCTCATATTTCTTATATGATCATTGACCAATACACATTACAGGAGCTTTTATTATCATTAACAAGTCGCGATTTTATAGGAAGATGTTGATTGACCGAAATTCTGACAATGGATATGAATTTTTCAATTTTATATTCGATTGTCGTACTTTTTTCATTAACAAATTCGAAAGATGTTGATTCCATATCATTGTAAAGTTTGAAAGGCCGCTGTTTGTTATAGGTCTATAATAGAGTTTCATACGTACTTTCGGTGCATGTGATAAATTAAAAGTATAGTCAAGCGCTAAATGATCTGAATAATGAGTATCAAAAACATTGACGCTAATTTCTGAGTCTACGTAGTTTATGAAGATGTTATCTAGACAACTTGAGTTTCTTGTATTTTGACTAACTATTGGCATGAAACCATAACAACTAAATAAGTTCACAAGCTCCTGAGCTTGGTGTTGTAACGTATTAAATCTAACATTAAAATCTCCTGTTATCACAATTTGCTTGCGGTAATCGAGTCCATCCAATAAACGACAAAGTTTCATAATAAAGTATTCAAAATTACCATCAGGAGATCGATACACTGAGATTAACTGAAGATCATTCACATTTACTCCGGCCGCCTCAAAGTGTAGTTCTTCTGACAGATTCAGAAGGTTATCTGATAGAGATACGGCATTAACATGATTTGCTATATAAATAGCCACACCACCACGAATTTTCACATCCCTACAGAAACTAGATACAGATCTAAAACCAGAGATATGATAATAGGATAACTCATCTTTTCTTAACCAGTGTTCATTTATAGAGAGCATTGTATATTTATTCTTTTCACACAGTGATTCGATGATTCCTGACTTACAGCGAACACCTTGGATATTTAGATGTAGTAGTCTAAAGAGCATGTTACTGTTTTTTACTGTTTTAACAGATCGTGGTTTTGGTATTGTATTATTCTGTTGTTTATCTTCCCTAATGAGTGATTTACTTAAGAAAAAACTGTTTTTCAGACTTGTCGGGGATGTTGATTTGTACAGTTTTCAAAGGTAATACATTTTTTAATTGTTCAAAAATAATATCCTTTACATGCTGGATGATTGTCATTTTTGATCCCGTAGCTCTGATGTCATAGAATAGGCTCAAAGAATAGTTTCTATTTAGTTTCCTGAGTCTATCGACTTTAGTATTAATTATATTTCTAAGATGATAGTCGACAGATGTGGTCAATTCGCATAAAAAAATAAGATTGGTTACTCGACCGAGAGGTAAGAGGCAATGTAAACCTTTGTTTAAGGATGGGGTGTTACTTATATTGTTAGAGTTGATCATGAAGATTACAAAATCGTTCTCACCAAGAGATTTTGTGATGTTAAATACGTTTTTTGTGATATCTACAAACTCTAAATTGGGATAAACGTGAGCTTTTATGGAGAACTTTGTCATGTCGGTGTATAATTCTAACACTTTTCTGAAACTTTTTGCATATTCGTCACCAATTATAATGATTTTCCGACAGCTGTCTGAGGCATTACGTTTCGGTGATCCACCTGATGGTACTATATCGATTATTGGTGCATCATCGAATTCTTTTGGAGTTTGTCTTGCAGATTCTGCTGCTACTTCGCCGTCTAACTGGGCTATGGGGGAAACGATAGATGTACAGTGGGCAAATGTCGACGCTGTTTGATGTTCGTCGAATTCATGTTCTATCGGCTGGCTTTTACACATATCGTTCGTCTTCATTTGGAAACTTGTGGCCCTAATATCATTCGCAACTGGAGGTTCTTCCATCAGAAGTGAGGTTGTCAGTTCCTGAAGTGTACTGTTTTTTGAGGATAAATATGCTAGTTGTTGCTCTATATTTTGTATTTGATGCTTGTAAGTCTGGATCTCGTCGTTGTAATTTTTTTCAATTTCAATCACATCATCCTCAAAAGCCAATGAGCGTTTTTTCATAGAGGCAATATATTTATCCTTCTCTATAATCTCTTGTTGTAATTCTCTTATTATTTCTTTGGTAGTGTTATCCTTCTCCATTTCTTCTTCACCTTTTCCTTGACATGTCGTACTACAGTATATCATATGCTTGGCAATGACAATTACGTCATTTCGTTTGTTGCAGCAACTGCGATGAAAAATTTGTTTACATGTTATGCACACATAGTTGGATAGCTCTTTGGTTTTACAACATTCGAAATAATTCGGCATCTTCGTTTCTTGTATTGTATCGATAAGTAACGTTCAATGAAATATTGTACTGTGTCCTATTATTTGTGTCGGTTGGAAACTAGGTTTTATAGTAACATCACCTCGACTATATGTTTACTTTACGTACGTAATATCTGGTGTATGTATTGTTGGCAGTGGTTTTTGGGTTATAAAAAAAACTGTGTTCCTTCTGCTGTTACTCGATAACTAGATGTGCAATCATACCTCTTCATACGAGAACTATTTACTTGAAGAGTCTGAAGTGTGTATGCATTCACTTTGTACATAAACTGTTCGAAAACACGAAATTTTTACACAACTTTTTACTATGTTTTCCAACAGAAAATTGACACACACGAGAAGTAGAAGAAACTCGACCTCGACCGCCGAAACCATCATGGTAACACTCCACCGATTCGATTGTCAAAATGTTAGTCACTTGTCAATGCCTATTGTTGTATGTTGGTCATATTGTGTAAAAGAATCGAATAAAGACGATTTATTATTATTATTTTTCCTGAACAGTGATTCAGATATACAAATCAACAAGGTGGACCCGGTAATGGATGAAAAATCACAACGATTTTCTGGAAAACCGATTTCAAATCAGATAGTCAAGTATTATAGAGTGAATGATATAAAAAAGTTTTCATTTTCACGTCCATTTACGAGAAAGGATACTTTGATAGGAACGACAAATGAATTCGCTCATCTATGGCTGGAAAGAACAGAACTTTCTACAACCTACTCCCTACCTGGGATTTTAAGGTAATTACTATAACTAGGTAATTGTAGGCAGCTAATGAAACATTGACCTACTCAACCCGAACATTTTGTCTTAGTTTCCATGTACTTTTTTTGTAGTACACAATCAACCCGTCATCCTTCTGACACGGCGTATGTCAAACGTTAAGCGTGAATATAGAGAGTCAGTATTATTTACTTACTGGTGCTTTATTTTAACCCAAAAATGCGTCGTCATTATCTGTAAGAAAATCTAGAAGTTTCATTGAATGCCTTACTGCTGACTTTTATAATTTCTTATCGTCTATAAGCGTGAGAAGTATTGTAAACGCCGAAAATTTCGGAAATCGCAAATTGTTATTTATACGTTAAAAGGACAACCCCTCAATCAGCCGAAGTGTGAGGAACTCTCAAGGCTGCCAGAAATGGCATGCTATGCAAAATTGCATAAACAGACACGACTGAGCTAAATCTGTTTGATTTCCTTATCTGTATCTTTATCAATCATCAGTAAGGTATATATCTAGCCATGTGGTGATAGACAAACGGAAAACAAATAAGCTGTTATGGCTGCACAAAGATGTGACAACGCTGACAACTGCTATCTACAAATAGCTTGCTAAATCTTGATACATCTTCGGCCCACATGCTGAAAATGCATCTGGCCTACACTGGATGACCGTTACCGTTCTAGCGAATAGATGTCGCCCACCATCGTCAAAAAGGGAACCTATCAATCAACCGGAATACGAGGTATATAAAAAAGAGCTACCAACAATGACGTGGTATTGCACACGTAAACAGACGCTGAACTGGATCTGTTTGCATCTCATCTCTGTAACAATGAAAAAAAAATGTAAGAGGTCTATTTAGAATTCATGTTTCGTTTTTCTAGTTTGCATTAGTATTTTGGCGTAGATTCAACACTTAATTTGTAATGCGAAAATAGTTTCTTATTAGTGCGTGGCAAGTACTTAAGAATTGTTTGAATAGCTCCACCTAATAACAAAGATGCCCCAATATTATACTTAAGCATGTAAAATATTTCAGGTGGTTTCCTGTAGAACATACACAGGTCCATGAAATATCACCATTGAGAAATGCCATAGAGACAATAGAAAGGACTAATAAAACCCTAAGAAATTATATTTCACTTTTTAATAAAGATAAAAATATGCCGATAAATCCCCTGAGTTTGACATTAAATGGTAAGTATTAATATAAAGGGTGGCTGATATGTAACCTTTGTATCTTGAATATTTGTGAAATGAAATAAAATTCGTCCATTTGTTTGTCATCTTAATCTTTTATTGAAATTATGTATGGAAAATAATATCAGACATCCATAAAAAGTCAGGAGCCGTTAAATACGGAGACCTTGGTGGCCAGTTGACATCACCAAATCGAGAAATTAAACGTCCCGGAAATATTGTTCGAAAAAGATTCATTGTTTCCCTAGCTGTGTGACAAGTTGCTCCGTCCTGCTGGAACCACATGTTTTGCAGGTTGAATTGTTCGATTTGAGGAGTTATAAAGTTTTGCACCATATCACGCTAGCGCTCGCCAATGACAGTAAGAGAATTACCTGGAGCGTCTTCAAAGACGTAAGGTCCAATGACACCTCCATACCAAACACCGCGCCAAACTATGACTCGAATAGGATGTAGTGGTCGTTGATGGATTACAAGAGAGTTCTCTAATGCCGAGATACGACAATTCTGCTTATTAACAAATCCGTTCATATCGAAGTGGGCTTCAACGCTGATTATCAGTTGTCGGTAAAAATCGTTATTTCGGCTGCTTTCATGGTCACTAGGCTGTCGTTCTTGGGTTAACTGAATTTTGTATGGCTGCAAATGCAAGTCTTTTTTTACAATAGTGCATAATGACGTGCGAGGAATACCCATTTCTTAAGAACGCTGTCTGGTCGATGTCCCAGGCCGCTCCACTACACTTTGACTAACTCTCTCGATATTTTCCGGAGTACGAACAGTTCGAACACGGCCCGACCTTGGCAATTCTTTAACTTCACCTGTTTGTTAAAATTTCCGCACCAACTGGGGAATGGTGTTGATACTGGGCACATTTTTTCGACCGAAATCTTGTCGTAGTTTCCGAATCGTTGCAACAATCGACTCATTATTTAAGTAAAACATTGTGGGATCGTTTAGCGCTCCATTATGAATTGGACAAATGTGCTTTAAACAGCTACTACGGCGCCACCTACTAAAATGCGTGCATTAAATATGGCGCGCAATTTTAATCAGTCAGTTATATGTTCAATTTTATAGCATGCTTTTGAAAAGTACTAGATTGCTGATCATTGCAATAGAACATTTAAACTACGTCTCCAGCATTGGGATGTGGCGATCCTAAAAGATGCGATAGCCAGATTGACGCACAAGTTGCGTATTTACTAAAATAAGTTACAAAAAGTGGCAAAACGACACTAGAATGTAGATGAAGGTGTATTGTTTTCTAATTTGCTATTTCAATCATCTTACAGGTATATTGGATGCTGCCGTGATGGGCGGGATTAAAAACTATGAAGAGGTATTTTTCACAGAAGAATATGAAACCACTCATTCCGAGGATAAAATGCTTATAGAGCGATTAAAGGATTTGATTGCAGATCAAATACCTTTACTTGACCTGTGTGTACAAATTCACAAACAAAAAGCACCTGAAAATTTGCAGCCTCTTCAAAAGAGGTTAGAAGAATGCTTCGCACTTATGAAGGCCGATGTAGAAGAAAAATATGGAAAACGAGTAAGTTATAGAGAAAAAACAAATATGCAGTGTGATTTTTTAGTACCAGAATATCCAATATCGCTGTTGCTATGGGAGATACGATCAGTTTTTTCGTTCAATAGTTTAAACTTCTTATCTATGAATTGCTGCTTGTTTTGTTTCTTAATAATGATTTGTAGTCGTAAATTTGGCAAACAATTTAGCAAGATGATTAAAAAGATATAATACGTCTTGAAATAAATGTATCAAAGTTATTTCAACCCTGTGTTATGCGCGTGGATACGTGTGACGATGTTGGGTGCGTGGGGAACAGGTGTCAACCATCTTTTAAGTGCAATGCCAAATTTTCACAAAAAAAATTGTTTAATAGACAACAATGAAAAATAAATACATACAGATTAGATTCACTAATTTTTATTAATTAAATAGAGAAAGAACATGGACGATCAAATCCAATCGGCGCAGATGTAGGCGTGGTTGACTCCTGTCACCCACGCGACTAACACAGGCTTAAGGTAAAACTAAAGGCATTATTATACCTTCATGGCTGAACGATGGGCATTATTTCAAAAAAGATATGTTATATTTCAATTATAAATTTGCAAAACTTGTATCAGCTGTTGCATTAATGCAGGGTTCGAGTGAAATTGTGAGATAATGCGCAAATTCTAATAGGCTAGAAATGAATGCCATATCTCTCTTCTTTCAGGACTGTGATATTAAAATTGAAAATGAAGTACAAATGAGGAGACATTATAGCATCACAAGTGATAGGCTTTCTGATATAACCATTACACCGGAGTAAGTATAAATGCAATAAATTAATGTCGCACGCTGAGCAAAAGCAGTTGTAAATAGGAATGTATGAGTATTGTTGCAATTTATGTTGAGCTTATTATTGTTGCTTATTCTGATGTACCGAGATGTTCGTTCGGTCAACGTTGGCTTCTAGAATCTCGTTTAAATGGTATTTCAATGGACTATCGACTATCCAATCAAGAAGTCAGTATTTATTTTGTAAATTCAGAGATACTGAATGCTTTGTCATCCTCCCATGTTTGTCTGACCGCTAAATAAAACCACATATGCTGAAATACTATTCACTGACGAGGATGTTTCGGCCACAACAATGACCTTTTTCAAGTACAATCGACAAGCGAAGCCATCACTGCAATTTTGAACCAGCAAAGCCCAGGACCTACTTGGCGTATGCATTTCCGGTTCCAAAAGGACATCCAGCCCTCCAAAGCGACAAGGGAGCATGATGCTTACCTGTCGTTTTTGAATGTTTCACGCACGTCACCCCTGCCGATCGTTTTGAAAATGCCAAAATTCATACGAACACGCAAAAATCCACCCAGAACGGTTGTGTTAACACACCTGTGAATTGTTATATAATCTTCGACTACAAATGCTGCATGTGCATTGTTTATGGATCTGAAATGCGAGAAATAGTTCTTCAATACATAAATGGAACTATGTTCTTTGTCTTGTGAGGAAATAATATGACACAACAGTTTGACCTTGACATGGCGAAGTAAAACATCTGCGCATTTGAGATTCAATAACAAGCCATAAATAAAAAACGTATGGTCCATTACTTAGATTGGAGAATATCAATTAGATCTTTCCTTCAAGGATACTCAATCAATTTGGGTCACAGTCCACAGGAGAACTAGAAAGACAACTGTTTTATTTTCTATCTGCTGATTCCTTTACGTTCTTATTGTAACTTTTATACTATTTGTGTAATATTGAGGTTTCCCCCATTTTATCATTTGCCATGTTTCCCATACATGCTTGCTTAGTCCTGATTTTGATGTTTCTTCCTTTGTTATGTAGACTTTATGTTCTTTAATTCTATATTTAACAGGTCTTGATGTTTCACCGATATAGCATTTACTGCAGTGATAGTGTATTTTATATATTGAATTTTTTGTGTCAATATTTTTATTAGTAGGTTTTGTCTGGCATAGTAGGCATCTCAGTGTGTAGTCTTTCAGATAAAGCTCTTACGTATGATGTTATACAGAGTGTAACGGTTGTGGTTGGTAGCTGTTTTGGTGGTATAGTTGAGCCCTTGAATTTGAGATTTAACAAATTTTGGAGGATAACCGTTACTGTAAAGTGGATCACAATTACAAAATTAACTGAATTAGTCTATATGAAATTAAACTACAATTGTCTTTCTAGTTCTTCTGTGGATTGTGACCCAATTTGGTTGAGTACCGTTGAAGGAAAGATCTAATTGATATTCTCCTACCTAACTAATGGGCCATAGGTTTTTTACTTCCAGGTTTTTTCTTATGGCTTGTTATTAGATCTCACATCTGCGGATGTTTTACTTCGCAATCTCAACGACAAACTGTTATGTCTTACATTATTCTACAAGACAAACAACCTGGCTGTCTTTAGATGTCGAAGTACTATTTTTGCATTTCAGATTGATAGACAGTGCACATGCAGCAGTTCTTGGTGGGTTTTCGCATTTTCGGAGCACTTTTGGCGTTTTCGGGACGATGGACGAGGGTGACTTGTCTGGTTCTTTCAATGACAGAGAGGGAGAGCCAGTCCTGGGCTTTGCTAGTTTAATGAGGTGCCATCCTAAAATTGCAATGATGGCTTCGTGCATTATGAATGTTAAAATGAAATAAAAAACAAACGAAGTCTCTTTTAGACGGATAAGCGAAATATACTGGAAAAAGGTCACCGTTGTGGTCGAAATGTCGTCGTCAGTTAACAGAGTATCGCAAGACTAGTTGGTTCCACTTAGCGGCCAGACAAACATGGATTATTATCAGGATAAACACCACAGGATCAGTTTCAGGTGTTAATTGAATGATTTGTTTCCAATATGGTTATAATGAAATGGACTAAGGCCCGTATCGTCAGTCGTCCCTACAATTGTAGGGCGCCTTTATGGCCTCCTTGATTGTCATAGTTTTCTACTTCTCCGTGTCAGCGCTCTATTTTGAGGTTATGTCATAAACATCTATTTGCATCACATTGTGCTTGCTTTTGAGTTATTTCATGTTTTATCAGCCTGAAATTTCCTACAATTTAAAAAGAAAACATATCTTCACAATAGGAGAGCGCTGGCGCTGACACGGGACAAGTGTAATCAAGAAATTTTTGAAAGAGAGAAAGGAGTATGACAATCAAGGAGGCCATAAACGCGCCCTAGAATTGTAGGGACGACTGACAATACATCCAGTTTTATTTTTATCTTTTGTGGAATATTAGGAGTTATGTATGATTGTCCAATGAAAAGGTCTCCTGCTATATTTTGGGAAAAACGCTCGGGCACGCCAATTTTCATTTCTAGGGGAACGTCTTTTCATCTATTGTCGTACAATACAGGGTGATCCAAAAATGAGATATTGCGAATGTAATTTTTATTATAATTAACGTCATTTTCTATTATTTCGGTAATTCGTGACTCTATTGTATTTTCTAACATATCCAAGTAGGTCTCACCTCACCTCAAGTTTTCACGAATAAAGAAACATCTTACAATATGATTTCCGAAGATGCTGGCCCACACATTTATTTTTTCAGGTTATTGCGAGTGTACCTCTCGAAATAAATGTGGATTCGAGTCACTCCAACATCGACAATTATGTCTATTTACTGCACCATGTAAATAGAACGTACACTCATCCGAGAAACAAATATTGAATAACCAGTTTGCATTGTTAATTAAACATTGGGATATTCATTCCCAAGACTCCAACCTTCTATCAAAATTGTCTTCATTAAGCTCATGGACAAGTTTTATCTTGTACGGGTGAAATTTATTGTATTTCAAAGCTCTTTGTACTGTTGAGCGTGTAAATTCTAAAGAAGTAGCCAGTCCACGAGCGCTTTGGGAGTTGTCAAGTGCTATTTCTGCGGCTTCATTTCTAACTGGTTGGTTTTCTCGATGGCGATTACGTCTAATATTAGACACAGATCGAGTTTTTTCAAATTTTCCTATCAATTTTGCCACATTATTATCGTTAATATTTTTGTCTGGATGTAAAGCATTAAACAACCGGGAGTAGCTCTTGCAATGCTCTCATCTTCGTAATACAGTTTTGTTATTTCTACCCTTTCTTGAATTGAATAAGTCGTTGTTCAGTATTTATCACAACTGGGTAACTTAACAATTTGAAATAAAAGACAAATTTTTTCTATGACAACCGATGACACTGTCTGATGCTAAATGTTCTTGCTGTTATCCATGATTATTATTTTTGCCGTGCACTCCATTATTATCAGTATTAAGTTAGTCGAACTTTATTATAAACTCAAATAGCTTCACAACGAATGAATATAGGTATAAACTTTATTATACAAAAGTTATTGAAAACTTCATGGAGAATCTAAAAATTAAAAAAATGGAGGTTTTCATTTAACAATCTAAAGTGTAACGCAATATCTTATTTTTGGATCACCCTGCATTGCACGGCTATAGATGAAAAAACGTCCCACTAGAAATCAAAATTGACGTATCCGAGCTTTCTTCCCAAAATATATCAGGAGAGTCTCAAATGGCGGTGCGACCTTTTCGTTGGGCCACCCTGTATAAAAAATTTAAGTGTTTATGTGGATTATGACTAAACGCAAATCCTACTTCAAGACGCTCTTCCTGAAAATACCTACTGACATTATGTGTGTCTAACCCGATTTCAGGGGAAGACGCATCTCAAGCGACTTTCTGTAAACCGTCTGCAACTGGCAGCTTCATAAAGCGGAGGTGTCTAAACTTGTGTCATAATCGTTTATCAGCTTTAGCGCTGTACTGTTGTTCGAGGCACGCATTTACAAATTTGCTCAAACTAGATTTGAAGAAAAAATGTTTTTTTTTTTCGATCCTTGGGGGTTTTTTTAAGGTATTTGTAGTGAAACTAACATTGGATTATAAAAATTAATTCATACCTGAGAGGATCAACACAAATTGTAACCTTCTATGCAGTATTAGCGCTCCAAACAACCAAACAGGAGGAATTATGTAATATACTTGTTAATTAATCGAGAGTTATTGCTATGTGTCAAAAATTAGTGAGTTGTTATAAAGTTCAGGCAGAAAATGAGTTGAGTATTTGAATATTGACGTTTTAAATTGAGATTGATTGTTATTTTTATGTAGTAACGTTGCTGGGCGTAGCAGAGTGTCAAGCTTAACGCGAAGTCAAGTAGCATCGCTGAAAAATTTCACTGCGAATTTTAATTTTGCTGCCAGTTCGCCTTTGGTTAACTGGTTCGTATATATGCAAAAATCTGAATGGATTTTATTAATAAAGCTAATATATCATTGGCCTAGATTGATTGATTAACCCAGGACATTCTTGATTTTTCAGAAGAGGGCAAGAGCATAACAGAAATACCTCCTTTGCATAGTCGAGCCTAGCGTTATGTTCCTTTTAGTTTTTAGCTGTAGCTATTGATATTAACCTACTAACACGGATTATATATGGGAAAGTTGGGGTAATTATTTCATAGAATGCATGTTATGCATCAGATATATCCATTTGTATTATGCACCTAACACAACATATTATATTTACAGTATGCCTTTTAACAACTACTATCATATGGAAACGATTAAGTGATTAAACAAAAAATGTAAATTTTCGGTGCTTCTTTGAAGTGCTGTATCTCAGTAAAAACTTTTCAATAGAGGTTCTAAGAGAAGCATTTTAAAGCTCCAAAACGCCTGGTTTTTTTATCTTTTCAATGAATATTCCAGGAAATATGCATTTTTTTTGTTTTTTTTTTTATTTAGAACACGGTATTGGAAAAATGCTTTTTTTTCGCTAAACCATCACATAGACTCAATAGCCTGTTTATTCAGCTTTCTTTTTTTAAAACCTCGATACGACCACTTCTTGTTGATATATCAATTTTTGAATGAAACAGGACCCTTGTGGGTCATCGATATCTCACGAATCAATTATCACTTATGGAAAAAATTAATTATCCTTCATAATAGGGGCTGGAAAATGTGGTGGTTTAGTGATGTGTGTGACGATAAGGTGAATGTGCAAGGGACACTTGGCAACTATGGGAGGATTTGGCAGTCAGTATCAGTTATCAGTCCATCAGTAATCAGTACTCAGCTTCTCAGCTACTCAGTAGTCGGTCGACCCTAGACACGCGTAGGGGCAGGGTCGCCACTCATGTATTGTTTTTAAGTTTTGCTTAGAACTGCTGTTTTTTGCGAGATTTCAATAAATCGTGTTCTCTCTCGAATCTACCGTTATTTACTCATCGAGAACCACCCTCTGTCGATTGGTAGAATCGGCAGCCCAGTGCATCTTTTGGCGTCGTAACGGGGACGTGAGATTTCGATGATTTTGAGTGCCAGAACGTGGAGTAGTGACTTTTCGGCGTTTCAGTCGATTGTTTAAGTTGTGCCGACAGGTATATATGGGAGGAGCAGTACAGGCGTAGCGTGGAAGAAGTGGAAAACGTTTTCCAGGCGGCATTCACGTGAGCAGTTGAGCCTTGGCGAGCTTATCGCGCAGCGACGGTAAAACGACGTAGGGAGATACGAGCAACGTGAGTCAGACAAGGATAGGGGTAGAATCGGCAGCGCGCGAGATAGTGGCACCCGGGCTTGAGCAAGAAAGAAAGGCTGTTTCTAGACGGCGTGGGCGAAGCGGTGTTGCCACTGTGAAATATTGTGCTGTAGATTGGTGAGAATTTTCTAATTTGATATTCACCCACATCTGCGAGCGTGCTGGTAGCAGTTACGAGTTTGTTGAGCTGTTGAGGCGATTTGGAGTACAGACGAGGTGGTACGAGGTTAGGAGCCGGGAGATTAAGGAGCAGTATTTTGAATATTATTGTATTGTAGTTAGTAGTAGGTTTGTAAGGTTATCTTAATATTGTTAGGATATATTGCAATAGAAGAGGAAAACATGCCAGGAAAAGGTAGGAGTAAGAGGAAGAACAGAGAGGAGAGTGTGGGGGGTATGCCTGTCGATTTAGCAGCGCTGGTACGGAATTTGGCGGTGTCTGTCACTGAATTGAAAAATACAGTTGGACAGTTGGTGCAGAAGGTTGTCATGTCAGAAGAGATTGTGACAGAGGTGGAGACTGTCTCAGTTTCCATAGGGGTAGATCAGGGGCTTTACCCAATTAATGATCAGGCCTATATTGCTTATTGGAAGGAATTGGGGGGTGGTAGCATTACTTACTCAGCTTACGGGCAGACTCACCCGATGCTATTTTTGAGAAAAATCGAGAAAACATTTAGTGATGCAGGGGTACCAGAGCATGCAAAATTGGGCCTAGCACTAAGTTGTCTTAGGGGTTCGGCATCCGAATGGGCAAGTCTGAAGGAAGATTCGTTGGTTGATTTTGCCACATTTCAGCAAGCCTTTAAAGAGAGATTTTGAGGGGTTGAAAAGCAAAGAGAGCTTTTCATGACTTTGGGTTATGGAATACACCCAGGCGGTAGTAGAGCGGGTTATTTCCTAAACTTGATGTCTCGGGCAAATTTTCTTGACAATAAGATTCCTGTAGCGAATTTGATAGGTATGCTGGTCAAACATTTTAATGCGGAAATTCAGCGGGGTATAGTGATTAATAATTTCACTTTATTGGATGCTGTGAAGGAGTATTTGCGTCGTATCAATGAGTCTTACTTAGTACAGGGGGGTATGAATAGAATGGTGAGCATCGAGCAGGTCGAAGGAATGAATAGGCGCGTGGATTATAATAGATCCAGTTACAACCGTGAGAGACCACCAATTGTTAGGGACAATAATCAAGGTCGTAATGTACGCACGTTAATTTGTATGGCGGACCCGGAAGAAGATCTGTTGAGTGATCCCGAGGAGGAGAAGGTTTCTCCAACTATTTCTATAGATATTTTTGGCAAAACTTTTGGGGTGTCGATAGACAGCGGTTCGGTTTTATACGCGGTGTCAGAACAGTTTTACGAAGAGATCAGCGGTTTGGGTAAGTTACCTAATTTGCCCGTGACGCAGAAAGTAGTATTGGTCGCAGTGGGGGGTAAAACCCAAAGAATCCAATCGCAAATTTTGGTTCCGATCGAAGTAGAAGTATGGACGTGAATCGTCTAGTAGTTCCAGGGCTAAATTGTAGCATTATCTTTGGATCTAACTGGCTATACAAGTGCCAAGCTCGTCTCGATTATCGGTTTTCTAAATTGAATTACATTACATTATTTTCTTCCATCCATTTTATAGTCTTTTTTGAGGTATGGCATGCTGCACCATCTTGCTGAAACACAAAATCTTGGCCGGATGTCAAACATTCTTCCATTACTGGTAAAAGTGATTCTATTTGTTTGTATCCACATATCCATCAATAAAATGAAGTTTTCCTACTCTTTTTGATGACATACTGCCCCAGACCATAATGGATGCTGGAAATTTTCTCTTCAGACAGTCAACATGTAATGCTTCATTTTTTTTGCGAATAACCCTACTGCAACTGTCACCAACACTAACTTCGAATCAGGCCTCATCACTCCATTGTATTGCACACCATTGTTGAGGTGTCTATTGTCTATGTTCTTTAGCCCATCTAAGCCGATTTTTCTTTTGCACTGGAGTTAATAGTGGCTTTTCTTTGTCCTATAAACAAGTTGTGCAACTTTAGGGTTTTTACTTCACTTTTGTTTATAAGAAAACTTACCTTGCAAGTGCTAAATCCCAGTTTGTGGGCCTCTCTATGAGTTGTGGACCTCAAAATTCTCCTTTCAACAGCGTCACTTCTACTTTTTTTCACATATCGTGGCTTAATATTATCTGAACCAGTTACGTTATATCTTCTAACAATATTTCTCACACTGTACCGCGATAAGTCTAACAAAGTTGCTATTTCTGAGTTTGATTTCCCAGAATTAAAAAATTTAATTATCAGTAACCGAATTTTCTCACTAATAACCTTTCCTCTACCCATTTTGAAAACCTTAACTACCCAAAACTATTTTAAACGTATTCTGGCAGCTGTGATTAATAAAAACAATTGTCATGGCTTTTGTTTTTCACAGCCACCTATGCGTTATAGACTTATTTTGCATTGAAATGAAAATAGGTTGATATGCTGTAATTGCAACATGTGTTATTTTTATGCTGCAAATTTGATTAGGCAGTGATAAAGTTGGTGTTTTCTACTATATATTATCAAAACATTCATTGTTAATATTTTAAACCTATAACACCCTGCTACATTTTTATTATTTGAAGATTTCAATAGTTGGGCCAACTGAAGTGGGAAGGGGCTCGTAGTCCCTAGTATATGAAAGCAATAAAACTAAAATTTAGAGTTACCTAGGAAAATATACCTTCAATTATGAATCTCCTGGTTATCTGCCATCACAGAAGTGATGACATATGAAAAATTTCACCTTTATAGTCCAATAGTCGTCCGTATTCTTAGGAGAAGTGCCAGTTTCTGTGAGAATGATGCCGAATAGTTATTAGAAATGATAATACCAGTACCATCTGGTTCTGAAACTTGTACTGTAATTTTTTATTGTGAAAAATATGAATTTTTCGATTATATAACGGTGCTATTACCATTTTCTTTGTGGTGGAGTTTCAAAAAGAAGGAGCATCTCCAGTGTGTTGTATACATTCACATGACACTGTTTCGTACATCATTGAAGAATGTGCACTGATTGAACCATTTTATTTATTTCAGTAAATCTTACCATAATTCAAAGTCTTCAATACAATCTCCAACCAAAAGCTTCATTGGCACACCATCTTTGTCTCACAAGAAGGTCCTTAAGACTCCGAAGGAGAAGCGCAGGCGATCCAGTAAAAGTGACATTGCTAGTATTTCATCAGAGAAGGGAGGCACACAATGGTATACATCTGACAGTGATCTTAATAGTGCCAATGTCATAACAAATGGCACGACCACCATCTTCGAACTAACACAAGCGGTGAGTTTTCTTTTTGTTCGAAAAATTAACCCTGTTATAGAAAAAATGCATAGACTATACAGGGTGTCCGCAAAGTTGGGGTTTTCCTTTTCAGAAACAACTACCCTTGAAATATACATACTATATACAAAGGAATTATCCGCTGAAGTAGATTCAATTGTTTTTCCCTTACAAATCTTCAGTAGATGACATTACTAATACCAAAATTATTGAATGAACACGAAAAAATTGATTTAACCATCAATAACCTTTAATTTCAAAAACTACCAGCAAAACGTGTATCTCTAGATAAAGAACCTGTTTATTTATCCTCAAGTATGTTATATAGTTCTAAAGTTATATTAATTCATATAAATATTCGTGAAATTCTGGTCTGTTTTCTGTGTTTCGAAGTTTTATAAAATAATCATACTCGATACTAGCTAAACATTATCTTAAAATGATATCAAACAAGGTAACAACCAAAATTGGAATATTAAAGTAGTTTTAATGTAAGATTCACTCTGACACTGGTGGCAGAGATTCTTAAGTAAATTAAAAGAATGTACATTCTTGAAAATACACTCATTTTCAGCTGCAACCGAAAAGACCATTGAGATCTGAAGTTGAGAGAGAAAGGAGATTGAGCAGACCATCTAGTGGGCAGTATTCTCGACCTAGCAGTATGTCTGTTACAATAAGGGGTACTGGTTCTTCAGGTGCGAGTAGCAACAGGGATTCCATAGGTAAATAATTTATATTACAGTATTATTACGTCTGCACTTTGACACATCTATATACGCTATTACAGAATGTCTTCAGGTACATTTAAATGCAAAGACTGAACATAAAGATATGAAAAAAGCTCATATAAGCATAGGTTCCTCATTACATTCTTTATTTAACTACTAGCGTAAAGGAAAGCGATGATGTTCTCCAGCGTTACTCCAGGATAGTCGCTTTTCATTAGTCTTATCTATGGGACTTTATCTCGTTCAGGAGTTATATTGCCTTTTTGTAGGAATTCCGGCGAATGATTATAAAATATAAACTCATAATACATAATACAGTGTCATCAACAGCATAACATCACATTAACGGCAAAAAATTAGTGTTATGAAACGTATTTGAGTGGAAATATTTGTAAGGGTGGAGTAAAAAAAACTTCAACTGAGCTAGTGGTTAAATAAGGAAAAACGCAGTTTGTACAGTGATCTCCAACAAGACCTTGATAGTGATTGATGTGTGATCAGTAAACTTGATTTAAATCTTAGATACTGGAAGATCTTAAGCTTTTTCGGCAAAAACTATTCCATCAAAATGCTATTTCGGTCCAGTGTAAAAGCTTAAAATATATGCACTACAATGTTTATGGTTTTTATCCTGAAAGAAGTTTCCCTCATGCCATGCTCTTCAAAAGAATGAAATTTGACACTCTAGTTTACCGTCGCCATACTAAGGATATTACAACTCTATAAAATAATTCAATTCAGTTTAATCGACTTTATTATAACAAATACATACAGTACCACAGTTAGAAATGACGAAGCCAGACCAATGGCCATACATACTTAACCATAATCTCAATAACGGATTAGACTGTACAGACTTACTAGTCAAAATTAATTTTGCAGTACCCTCAAAAAAGACTTCAACTACACTTTTTACACTCCAACTGGTAGAACATACAGGTACCTGTCTCCAATAAATATAATGTGTAATAGTTTTAATTTTTTAAGTAGTTTCAATGATGTGACTTTAGCTTGGATAATTTGCAGGTGGACTTGGCCAGTGTTAAAAGAAATTACAAGATAATGGATATAATGCAACTCATCTTCAACCTTTTAATTGCATTGTTTATCTTACTGTCTACTTTAATTATGACTTTTATTTGTGTTCTTGTATAATTTATCACTCTTACTTCGATATATGTGTAGGTGGTAGACGGTCTCTGACTGTCGAATGCGGAGGTACCACCCGGTGGATCTCGTAGGCGGAGCCAGAATGTGTGCATCTTGCATGCACACGTGTTCCCTCGCCAGAGACCGTGTGGCTTTCCCCCTTTCCCATGTATCCCCCTATAGCCCCACGGTACCCAATGGGTGCTTAGGCCTTAGGCCTTCGTGGTATTTTTAGTATAAAATTAGTTTTAGATTTAGTATAAAATATATATATATATATATATATATATATATATATATATATATATATATATTGTCCAGCTATTTGTTGTTATAGTATGACAAACTGTTACTGTATTTTTTATTGTTACTGTGATATTATTATTATTAAATATTGTAAATTTCAGGAACAACGGATTCCAGTATAAGTGAGGAAGACCCTATTCCCCCACCACTACCAGTAAAGCAAAGAGACAGTGATTACAGCAGCCTCAGTTCCGAAAATCACAGTTTTCTTTATTCACAACGCAACTCATCGCTCAGAAGCTCCCTGCAAATCAAAATAAGTGAGTTCGAAGTCAGCAGTCAGATAGAAGATGCTGATGTACCTCCCACTCCACCACCTAAACCACCAAAAACTAAAACGAGTGTTTCATAGCATGTATATTTTTTGGAATGATGAGCAATGTTGAGTGCAAAATGGTTTTCTTGTTCTATGGACAATAAGTTCTAAGGTCTTTCAAAGCTTTACAAATTGTTATAGATTGTATACCCGGCATATAAAAAATGCAGAATATTTATAAAAACTTAAACTAAAAAAGAAAACTTAATTTCTTAGTATTTCTTTCATCCATGCTCGGGATTGAAACCAGAAATAAAAAAGTTGATTTTATTTGAACTTTAAGAATTATACAAAACTCTCCATGACTAATACTGTTGTTGGCCAGTTATTACAACGTGAATCTTTTTGAGTTAATCCCCGATGTTTGCCTGGCCTAATCAAATCAGATATATGTTTAAAATTCCTCTATTGTACGAAGTTTTTGAGTTTTTTTTTCCAGCATGATGTATTACATAATAGGCCTACTGGCTTTCTCATTAGAATGGAATAAAAAGTTAGGTATAACATTTAAAGCAAAATTTCCATTTTTTTAGGCGCTATTTACCCTTTACAGCAGAGAAAAATAGTACATTACAAACAGAAATAGTACATTACATATAGATCTTTTCACTACCACAATCCATAATTTTTCATTTCCAATTTCATTAGAGCTGGATATTGTATTATAATCTGTACTGTACTATACTGTTTGTAGTAAAATAGTACATTACATACATAAATATAAGAAATGAGGCTTGTATAGAATTTTTCCACTACTAACAATATATACAGGGTGTCCGCAAAGTTGGGGTTTTCCTTTACACGACGTGTAGATCTTGAAAACATAAGCAATTTTTCTTAGTACCATATACACCAATGTCTTAAGGGAACCGAGATAAAGGGCTCTGCAACATCAAAAATATCTGAATACCGTCCTGTAGCCGCGACCCGCCGCGATATCCCCGACTGTTACAAGGTCTCAACCCGACGGCAGAACTGGGTCGGGGTCAATGTGTCAGGTTAGTATGCAACCTTCAAACGAGGATTACGGTCACGCATGTAGAGGTAAACGAACTCGTATAATCGATTGCGTTTCAAAAAACAACAAGCACTAGAGACGTGGCTAGAGAAGTGCAAGTATCAAAAACTAAAGTGTGGCAAATGCTGCGTGAAGCCCTTCAACCTGACGATTTTCCAGCAAGAGTGCGGTTTTGTGAGTGGTTGTTGCATCAACATGACAATAATCCGGACTTTTTGAGTGCATATTGGTGACAGACGAATCTACGTTCACGCGTAATGGGGTGAATAACTTTCGCACACTCATGTTTGGTCATTTTCAACAAACATTTTCGGTGAATGTTTGGGCTGGCATGGTGAACGGTATGCTCATTGGACCATTTATTCTTCCAAATCGATTGGACGGGATGCAATACCTAGACTTTTCACGCAACATTTTGCCTTCCTTGTTAGAAGATGTGCCATTAAGTGTAAGACAATCAATTTGGTTTCTGCGTCTGCTCGGTAGCGTATCAGCTGATTTCATTTTCTGTTGGAGCGGTATGATTTCGGGCAGAGACGTACTTAGCCCTTCTCGTCAACTGGAGAGTGAGTACTTTTTCCTTTATTTTTTTTTACTTGGTCGCCCTCGTTTCACTACACATTACCTTTGTTATTTCAAGGGTAGTTGTTTCTGAACAGGAAAACCCCAACTTTGCGGACACCCTGTGTATATATATATAACTTGAAATATCTAGTTGCCTATTGTCAACTCAACAAACTGAAATGAATGAATTGAACAGACAGCCAGTTTTAACCGGTAAATTTAAAAGGGGAGTAAACTGCAAATGTTGGTTGCTTGTATTTTCCTTCTGCTAAATTCGAAACGCGTTCTCCAAAGTTATATTATATGTTAAAATGTAAAACAAATTGCACATATCTAAAAACCAACATTCGAGATACAATGAGAAAAGAACTGTGCGGTGCAACCGGAAATGGAAAAAATTATGATAAATATGGTTGCATTTCGGTAGACGTCGATTATAAAAAAGCCTTAACAATATAGTTTGTCATTATCAAAAGACCCAACGAACTTAACTTATGTGATGTTCGACATTGATGGCGCATCGAAAACGAAACAGACGTATTTACTGGCAGCTCAGTTTTTTTTAAAAACGCTCAGACCCGTCGATTTTGTTTTAGAGGGGAACACAAGTTTGGCAAAAAAACACGTTAACACGTGCAGCCCCCTGGGCAGGGGTGACACCAACCCTAAAATCTTATATGGAAAGGGGGGTCGAGAAAGATAAGGAAATATCTGGTACTTATTTTAAATAGGAGTTTAGTACATAGTTTGCGATTGATTTGACCAAACTTTGTTGCTAAAATAACTTGTAACGCTTTATTTCATAAATTAACCATGGTATATTCACAGCCTTCTTAAACTAACGTATATTCCACAGCAGAAAGAGTTAAAATTATCGAAATATTTTTCGGAAATAATCAGTGCGCTAATAGGTCCGCAGAAATATTTAATGAGCGACATGAGAACAGTAACGTGCATCGAAAATATGTTCTAGAACTTGTAGCTAAATTTCGGGAAACTGGTTCAGTCGCCAATAAAAAACGCAACATTGAAAATCCCATAAGGAACGAAGCAATAGAAGTGGGGGTTTTAGAGCAAGTTTATGTAGATCCTACGTTAAGTACCCGCAAATTGGAGACTGTGTGTGGTGTTAGTCGACGTACTGTCCGACGGATTCGAGTCGACGGTCGATAAAAATTGTTCAAACGGGGCGACCACTTTCGTCGAGGAGGCAGTCGCGTGTCGTATCCGCGGTAAGCTCGACGCAGCCCACGGTCCCTGGCAACGAGAGCAGGTTTGCTAGTAGTGTTCAATCAAAAAAGCAATGGACCTAGACCTAGATGATGAATATGTAATGCTACTGTACTTGTTTTACCGGAGACGAATGAAGAAAAAAAAGGGAGGCGTCTCTGGATTCATCCAATTATTTCACAGCGCAAAGAGAAAGGCTTTTTTACTATATTGTGGCCACAGCTAAAACAGGACGAAGAAAAATTTTTCAATTTCACAAGAATGTCCCAGTTTTCTTTTTATGAACTTCTCACTGCTATAGAACAAGAATTAAGAAAAGAAAATACTGTTATGAGGGACTGTATTTCCCCAGAAGAAAGGCTTGTAATAACTATAAGGTAAGAAACAAAACTTGGTTTATTATTTGTCTATTCTCATAGTCATGAAATAAAACATCGTCTTATGAATATTTGAACATTGTGCAATTTATTGGAAGCGTTGAAATATTCTATGATTATGAATAAAATATATAATACGTACTAGAAGAAGCAAATCAAAAGAGGCTTAATTCGGAGTCAGCTTCAGCTGTGTAGCTGGAAACGTATGACGCTATCGATTCGGAAACAGATTCTGCAGGAGACGGTGCTGCCAGGGGAACTTGAGTAGAAGTTGATGACTCGGTAGAATTCATTGTGCGTTGCAAGTTCAGGGATGTATTAACTTGAAGTTCTTGATAATTTGGCGGAGGCTGACTGAAGTGAGATGGAGTTTGCTGACAATTATATAAAGTCTGATATCGTGGTTGGAAAACATCAGGCTGTACTTGAGGGTTTTCTAAGTGGGCTCGTGCACCAAACTCTGAACGAAAATTGCCCACTTGATGAAATGTTTGTCTTGGAGTCGGAGCCCCTGACGGTGCATATTTCAAAAGAATTTGCATAATTTCCATTCTCACTGCCAATTTCGAATCTTCTGGAATGTTCTTTAAAGTCGGATGCAGCGCAAGCAAAAAATGGAAATCATCATCTTCACATTTTTCAACCCGCTGCTTTGTTTCTGCTTCACGTCTGGCTGCTGTGTTAGCTTCTATAGAACTAATTATTTTCATTTCCACCGGATCTAATCTTCTTCTTTTCGCAAAAGATTTTTTGTTGGATGAAGTAGATTGTCCAGGCTGTGTTGAATCGTCAGGAAAAATATCAGTTTCTTCCGTTTCTCGTTGGACAATCTCACTTTCCTTATGTTGCTCGTCCAGAGAATTGGTCGTAGACTTATTGTCCAGTATATTGTTTAGAAAACCCATCTGCGTGGCATATATATAGGGTGTTTTCTTTTTTCCTGCTGAGCCTGATTTAAGTTTTTTATTAGATTTCCTGTCCTTTGCATACCGGTCTCTCAAATTCTTCCATCTATCCTGCACCACCTTACCTACGAGTAAATAAAATAACAAAAATAGAGAAACGTCAATTCACAATTATACAATGATCGGTAAAAATGGGCATTATGCGGGAAAGTTCTTTATTATTAATTTATGGGAACGTTTTTCTTTTTTATTTTCGGTGCACGGCTTTTCATCAAATTAGGTATTATAGACTTTTCTGACAAAATGATAATAAATCTTGATTGTTCGGTTTTATTATAGAATTTACGTAATATTCTTTCTTTTAGGTATTTGGCTACTGGTTGCTCGTTAGCTGACCTGCATTTCGCTTTTTGCGTGGGAAGATCGACGGCTAGTCAAATAGTGAAGGAAGTCTGCGAGGCGATATGGAAACGTTTAGCATCCTCTGCATTCCCTATTTTTTCACAAAGGAGGTGGATGGAAATTGCTGCATCATTTGAAGAGTTTGCTCACTTCCCACATTGCATTGGAGCCATAGATGGCAACGTATACTACAGCCACCAAATAGTGGGTCGATGTTTTACAATTATAAAGGGACATTTTCGATTGTTCTTCTGGCTATGTGCGATGCGAACTATCAGTTTACCTATGTAGATGTTGGCGCTTATGGGAAATGTAGTGATTCTGGGATTTTCAAAAATTCCTCTCTTTATGAGAAAATACAAAATGGGTCCGTTAACATTCCTGAGGCCTCGCCTATAGGAAACTCTAAGACCTCATATCCATTTGTTATTGTTGGTGATGAGGCCTTTGCTCTCTCTGAAAATGTGCTACGACCGTATGGCGGCAAATGTCTGAGCGTCAAAAAAAAGTTTTTAACTATCGCCTATCGAGAGCGAGAAGGTACATTGAATGTTGCTTTGGAATCTTAGCTAGTAAGTGGAGAATATTTCAAAGATCCTTGAATGTTGATATTGATCTAGCAGAGTGCATAGTAAAAGCGGCCTGCATTCTCCACAATTTTGTACGGCAACGTCACGGAGGAAGGGATGACACAAACGGTTTAGAGTTATGCCACTTTCCTTCCATTGATAAGGATAGCTTGAGTAGAGCTAATAAAAACGGCCTAACAGCAAGAGACAAATTTGCTGATTACTTTGTGGAAGTCTCACCGCTGCCCTAGCAACATCAGTCTATACGTTGAAACGTCCCACTCAATCTTTTTTGTAATATTTTTTTTTCGAAAAATGATTACAATGTTTAAAACGCGAAGACATTATGAAGTGTAATTACATGTAATTAATAAAATCAAAACTAACAACATACCAGTTTTCTTTTTTTCCTCCAAAGTAGCATCTCCTACAAATATATTAATGATCTCTTCCCAAGCGTGCTTTTTCTTTTGCCTGTCGCCATACTCGCTTTTTGTCATGTCCCATATAGCTGGTCTCTTCTCCACCTCTTCTATTAATTTTTCTGGGTCTATTTCGTGTGCCATCCCTAAAATCTAAATGAATACAAAATTAAAAAAAAAGATATTGTTTCAAAATAAATATCTTTTAATTTGAGAAGATAGCGGAATTTATAAAATCCGTGATCCAACATATTCCATCGCGTGATTCAGTACTTACGTGTGTGAATTTCGAAATAAAATGCGTCTGAACTGATACACTTCAGAACATGGCATGATGTGTCGATGCCGCGTCGAGTGTCGCTGCAAAGTCGCGGGGAAATCATATGTCGACTCGACTTCAAGCGGCGGGGCGCCGCGTCGAGTATCTGTGTGTTTCATTATATATAAAGTTATTTACACCATGCGTCGACTCGACCGCCGACTCGACGGTCGAGTCGACAAAAGTCGATCCGTCTGTTTTCTACCTAAAGGCCCATAGTTTTCATCCGTATAAAATTCACCTAGTACAAGAACTTAATGCAGACGATTTTGGTCGGCGATTACAATTTTGTGAAGATATAAGTGAACGAATTGTAAACGATCAACATTTTCTATTCAACACTTGCTTTTCCGACGAATGTTCCTTTTTCTTAAATGGCGTAGTAAATCGTCATAACTGCCGATATTGGTCCAATTCTAATCACAGAATTTATCATGAGGTTCATACACAGCAGCCACAAAAATTAAATGTTTGGGCTGGTATTTTTGGCGATCATTTAGTTGGTCCTTTTTTCTTACCTGGAAATTTGACCGGTGAAATGTATTTGGAATTACTGGAAGACGCCATAGATCCTGCATTAACAGCCATAATTGAAAATCAGAATGATCGGCGGTACATTGCGAATAGGTTGATGTTCCAACAGGATGGTGCCCCACCACATTACGCATTACGTGTTCGACAATATTTAGATCAGACGTTTCCAGATCGATGGATTGGTAGAAGAGGTGCCATTGAATAGCCCCCAAGATCGCCAGATTTATCTCCTTTGGTTTTCTTTATGTGGGGTCATTTAAAAAGCAAAATCAATGCTACTCAGCCAACATCATTAGAAGACCCGCGACAAAGAATTGTGAATGAGTGCCTTCAAATTACTTCTCAAATATTGCAAAATGTGCGGACACGTTTTGACCAAAATCTTTATTATTGCGTGGAGAGTCATGGTGGCCATTTTCAACATTTACTTGCCTAAGGGGTCAGTTCATTCTTCATTTTTAAATTACTTTGCTGCCAAATGCATTGATCTCCACTAATGATGATGAGTTAGTTTTATTTAAGCTTTCAATCAATAAATCTTCAAAACTACTGAGCTGAAGTACATTAATTTTATATCATTATAAAGGAAATTGAAAGACCTTTAAAATAAGGTATCACTCGCCCCTTCCTTCCCATTTAAAATTTTGGGGGTGGTGTCACCCCACTTAGGGGGCTCCACGTGCTAACGTGATTTTTTGCCAAATTTGTGTCCCTCTCGAAAACAAAATCGACGGTTCTGAGCGTTTTTCAAAAAAAAAAAAACTGAGCTGCCATAAATGCGTCTGTTTCGTTTTCGATGCGCCACCAATGTATATGAAGGCCTCGTTGAAGCTAATAAGAGTATGTAGTCTTCCCGCTTCTGGCGCATTCGGTCACTCAGTTCAAGGTCAATTTTCTGTCTACAAATAGTTTATTGGAGCCATTGTACATCAATTGTATAAATATATGACATGTAACATATACATGCAAGATTATAAGAATAAATTAAAACACATACAAAATAGTATTTAAAATATAGTTGGAAATTCCATATAGTTGAAAAAGTCATAATTTAAAATCTAAAAACTAGTGCAAGTAAAATGCCTTCCTAATTTAAAAATAATCCTTGATTGTTTATAAGCATTCAAATTCAAAGATCTGATATCCCATTGGTGTTGTTAATTGTCGTTACTTTGGAGTACTTGTTACTAATTGTTACTCTTTTACAAAGTAATCATTTATCATATTCGTTACTTTGATGACTATGCTTAGTATGAGTATAACGATATGTCGAATTTGAGCAACTTTAATGGAACAGACTATATTGTAAGAAAATAGACAACCTTAAAATTTGCAAAATTTTTCAAGTATTGTTTATTCAAATCTGCCATGCTGAATGCATACATTGTCTCTTATCCAAAAAGAGATGGGTTGTTATAGGATAGGATGTTACAGGAGCCTATGAGCCTAAAAACTGAAAATACTTTGTACTGGGTGTCCAGGAGTAAATTTCCCTTTTTTAAGGCTAAAAAATTGTCTTGAAGTTTTAAAATTAATTTATTGAAGCAAAAATACACCCAATATAGACGGGTTTCATGTTTTAAAAATTATATTGTCGAGGTGCCTTCCATTTCGGATGAAACACTCCTGCAATGACGTCTTCATGTGGTTAAAAACTGTTAAACATAATTCAGGAGTAATTGCTCTAATTTATTCCCATATTTTTTGTTTTAATTCTTGCAAAGTCCTAGACTGATTAACATGCACCTTACTTTCAAGGTATACCCACAAAAAAGTCCAATGGGTGAGATCTGGAGACCTAGCTGGCCAGTTTAGGTCTCCAAAGCGAGAGATGATCTTTTCCGGGTATAATTCTCGGACGACCTCCATAGATGCTCGGGCTGTATGTGCGGTAGCACCGTCTTGTTGAAACCATGTTTCTTGATCAAAGCCATCAAATTTTTGTACTGATCCACCACAAACTTCCGAAGCATTGTACAATGACGATCACTATAGTGATATAGTTACAGTCTGGGCTATGCCACGTTGGTTCTCAAAAAATAACGAACCGATAATTTCTGAAGCCGACATTGCACACCGCACAGTTACTTTTAGGCTTTCGTGTTTTTGCCTTGGATTCCCTGGTGCCCAATAGCGACAATTTTGCTTATTAACTGGGCCTGAAAAGTGAAAGTGCGGCCCGTCACTGAACATAATGTTAATTCGGTCGTTTGCAAAAAACGGCTTATCATTGTTCCGGCGAAGGAACGACTGGTTATAAAGTCACTTGAGTCTAATTCTTGCACTATTTGGGATGAAGCTTTAAATCTCTCCTTAAAATTGTATGAAAAGATGACGCAATCCCACCACCTGTGATGTTTTACGAACAGATCCACTAGCATTTTGAATTATAGCGGCGCGTACAGCTTCAACATTCTCAGGAGTAGTTACAATCCTTGGACGACCAGGGCGTTTCACATCTGCAGCTGACGATGTTTATCTAAACCTCTTCGCCCACGATTTCACTAAATTTTTACTTAGTGTGTCCTCCACACGCCTAATATTGAAGTGAGCACAAAACCTCCGTCTTGCAATTGTGTAAGAGTCATTGTTCTCGAAATATGCCTCAATAAATAATGAGAGCACCATGCGCACCAGACCAACGCTTCATTTTTACTAAATAATCTGCATCCAGCCACTATCGAAGGACGATACGCCGACCGCGCATTTATTCCTGGACACCTTGTATTTACTAGAAATGCTTAAAAAGCATGTACGTTTTAGTTGAAAAGTAGATCTGTATATAGGCTTGAGGAAATTCGGAATGGCAAGTAACTTTTTGAAGCAGTTCAATTAAGCATGTACCAGTATAAAAAATCCTATGTGGATCTTAGTCTACACATACTACTGAGGGTCGTGCTGAATTATAAATTTTTAGCAAAAGACGATTCAGTCTTAAAACCACAACCAAAGCGGCTTTCTCAATGAAACAACAGAATAAATTATATAATGAAAATAAACAGAAACAACACATATAGAATCTAACAAAAAATGTTTTCTCAAAAACCAAACAGTTTTCTTATAAAATATTGAAATATATAATGAATCAAATAATACAAATTACACATCGTAATGTGTACGAGAAGCGCGATAAGCCGATGGCATCCGCGAGCCTGTACTTTGATTGCTAGGCAACGAGGTGCTTCTATCTCTTTCTAACAGACGTACTCCACGCTTCTCGCGCGTTTCTCTCGTACAGATTACCACGTCAGTCGTATTTGGGTTTATATGGATATATATATATATATATATATATATATATATGTATATATATATATATAATGTATCACAAACGCAATGACAAAATAAATACTCATTAGGAGGTTGGCGGCCGGAAAGATTTATCCAACTGAAACTGATTATTAAACAACACAAGATTAAAACGACTACATCTTTCTATTTAACGAAAGGCAGTCTCGAATCAATGTCTAGAAGAATCTACAAAAAATTATAGGTCGTGATTATAGTGTAAAAACAGGATTTTTGCTGCATTATCTCCTTTCTTCTCTCTGAAATTAATTGTTCAGCTGTAGACAAAATTCTTTCAGAAGGTACTGATATAGCTTCAATGCATAAATATCTTCTATCTAGCTTTGCTTAATGAGGACCAGTTGAGAGGATTTTCTTTCCTGCTAATTAAATCCTCTGACAAACAGGATCTGATTTCCAATGTTGCAGCAGCTTTTGGATCAATTGCTGTCCGGTATTTACAAATAGCAACAAAACCAGTCCAAATTAAATCTTCTTGGTCAGATTCAGATTCGATATTATTTGTATCGTTGGTGTCACTCTGACGACGCTCTACACTTATAGTATCATGTTAGCGACCTCTGTTTCATTATATTGAAAGCATGCTAAAAGCTTAAGGCTTTAGACTTGAATCGTGAATCCAGCATAACACACTTAGCCATAAGATTATTTGCTTCAAGTGCTGAAAATCTATTATTTCTTTCTCATAACGATTTACTAGTTCTAGTCCTACAATTGTTTGATTTTTTCAGTAGCTGATTTCAATCCTTCAACGGTTATTTGCTCAAACGTTTCAAAATGACATTTGTTTCTTTTAGTAATTGCCACTGTGTTTCTGACAAAGATTCTACATGGTTATTAAGAACTCCCTGAGTAGCTGTTCATGGTTCTCGTACATACAATACGCCGAATTCCATCTGATTTTGACATCGTTTTTTAATTTCAATGTAGTATTTTCATGCATTTACTTCTGAATTTCTAAAAATTTATTATTACCTTAGTGCTTCAATGAAAATAGTCAACTGTGGATTTGACTTTGTTTCGCAAAGGTTGAATTTCTAGAATTTCTATTCCACTCTGGACAATTAAATTTACAGTGTGTGCAAAACAGCCCGACTCTCCTAGCCTGACTACTGATTTAATATTTGAGGCATTATCGGTTGTTACAGTGAAAACCTTATCTAACATGTTCCACACAGTTGCAACCCTAAGTAATGACTTTTGTCATATTGCCCGCACTAGAATATATCTTATACTTTTTGGCTTTTAAACAGCCTAAACAGTGGAATATTCAAGGTACCCGTACTTCTGGTGTTCTAGTCCTTGACATATTTTCATCAGTGTTCAGATACTGTTTACATTAATACATGTATATTGACCTACCTCGCTTTCCAACCCTTCCATACTCCCAAGTACGGTTATTTTTGTTTCAAGTTTTAATGGATTCAGGGGGAGATTAGGACCTTATTTATTTCAACAAGACCTTCATATAATCAAAGGTAAATTCGTTTGATATCATGAATAATATTCGGCATTATTTCGTAAATATAAGTATGTAGTTGTTTAAAGGAAGTTGCAACAAAAGGGAAAAGCCTCCAAATTATATAAATGAAATCATTGCAACTGAACATGTGATATTTAAGAACAAAATACTAATAATAAAAGTCGAACTTATCTATCTTTCGTAACCTATTTCATCATGTTCTTGTTCAACCTCCTTATTGAGTCTCAATGGTATCATCATCAAAATAGTATGTAGATCATTCAGCCTTTTTAAAAGTTGTTAATATATCCACCACTCATAGTCTCTGATATAAATTATAACGGAAAAATGTACGATTAAGGTTTTTTTACCTTCTTCGCCTGCCTATTTATATATTTATCATAATTTCTTCCATTTCCGGTTGCACCGCAATTTCAAAATATTCCTACGCACCTCATGTTAAATTATACCTCGGAAATTATTTTTCCATTGACAGTGCAATTCTAGTTTAATAGCCTGTCCAGTTTAGTATGAAGCTCACAATCGTCAATTTTTCTTCATTTTCATAAAAAGGTGTCAAGTTTAAATTTGGAAAACATAAATGTAACATTACAGGCCACGCAGTAGACATCAAAAATGTAACTTCCCTATACATGGTCAGATTGTTTTGATTACTTATGGATTGTTTAGGTTGTTAGAGCAGTTGACAGATTAGAATTTGTGTTGTACTGAAATAAAATCTAGTGCCTAATTTGACAAGTTTTTGATAATAAAGCTGAAACACCTCATCAACATAATTATAAACAATGGGAATAATCAATTTTTGTAATGTGAAACTTCTATTGACTGTCCTGGATAGCCAGGACATTTATAAGAAACTTTTGATAATCAGGCTTTTCAGATGGATAAATTAACAGCATTTATGCACGTGATTTGAGTCGCGTGGCATGAGTCGCGTGGCATGAGTCGCACTACTTTTTAGACCATGTCGCGTGATTTTGATCAACACTGCCAACTGATGTCAATCTGACAGACGTGTCTATTCCAAAGAGGCAGTTTGTACACGGATACAATCAGTTTGTAGTCCAGGCTAATTAAGTTTTTAGGAGCCAAAATTAAAGGACAGGTGCGGCTATATTGAAAACTACGATAAAACATATGGTAGTTTAATGTGTGTTTAAGTTCCATAGTGGTGGTTAAAAATGCCTAAAAACTGGTCTTTCTGCTCTTTTTAATCTGAGCTTTTGATGAAAAAACGTTTTATACGAATTTTGTGTAGTTTTTTATTAATCACTAATTAATGCCCGAATATGTATGTGTGTATTACTCGTATATACCAAAATCTTCACCGATAGCGTTATCGTCCCACCCCACAATATGTGACAGTCAAGGGATAAATGTTTTTTGTTTTACAGTGATTGCGTAGGTTATGTGTTTGTGGAGTACTTTAAAGTGAATTCTAATCGTCTAACATATTCTATCTGCATCAAGCCAACCGATGCTATATTCCCGTGCCCAAAAAATTATCCAGAGATAATATAGATACTGTAGAAAGACAAGTTACCACAGCTGTTTATTTATTGTTTATAATTGCTTGTCTATTTACTATATATACTTTGAAAATGTTATTGTCTCATGTGTGTTTTTATAGTCCAGCCGCCACGATGGCCTAAGGCTCAAACACCCGTGGGGTACCGTGGAGCTATAGGGGACACAGGGGAAAGGGCGGGACGCCACACGGACTCTAGGGACGGAACACATGTGCATGCAACATGCACACATTCTGGCCCCGCCGGGTGGTACTTCCGCGTATGACAGTCGGAGACGGTTTGCCACCGACGGAAAATCACAACATCCATAGCCAAGAGAAAAAGTTCTCTTGGGACAGGATTCGAACCCGCGTCTACCACTTCGCCACCGCTACTGCCCTGTGAAAATGTATAGGTAGCACTGTCTATATGAGCATATACAAACATTTTGGTTGGTGCAGCGCCATCTATGAGGCATTAACATTTTCAAAGTAAATCGGAAAAACTGACAACTTCTTCTATCTCGGATAGATAATTTTTTGGACACGGGAATTTAATCACTGGTTTTAATATATCTGATAAAGACGTCTTATTTTGACACGGCCAATATGTTCTGTCAAAAATCAATGTAGAGTTCGATGCACACAATAGTTTGTGTATGAGGATTATAGTTGTGGTTACAAATTTGACAAACTATTTCCGGAAATCAAAACATCAATAACAAATGTTTTTGAGATCTCTTTACTAAAAGTGTGACAATTTTGAAAAAATATGAAAAAAAACATTCATTAAAAAATGATCAGTAAAAATATTTCAAACAAAGGTTCTAAGAAAAATATCTACTAAAATTTGAACTTGACGGTTTAGAGGGTTATACAATTTCATCATTTTGAATGTACTCTTTTTCTTCCGCGGTTTTACCCACAGAACGTGTAGGTGGCGAGTTGGCTGTTGGCTGACTAGAGCCATACAGATACAAAACGTGATCGGTAGAAGTATATAGCATTGCTTAAAAAAATGCTTGATGTTAGTAACAGGTTTAAGCGCACCAAGTCGCGAGTAACAGCTAGAATAAAGCGTTTATATCGCTTGCGATGGAGATTTTGGTACTTGATTGCAAAATCGACATCATTCTACTACCCAATATAATGTTTCATTGAAATGCCTCTGTTTTTGAAGTATATATAAGCAATTTTAAAATGATTCATATCTAACAATTTTTGCATTGACTTCTTTATTAAGTTATTGATTTGATGTGGCCTTGCCCTCAGTAGATCTGTGATAAAAAACTTCAAAACATTCCATAAAAGATGTTTTTCGTAAAAACCTGAGTTCGAATAAGAGCAGGTTTTTGGTCATCTTTTACCACCAGTTGTAAAAAACTCTTACATTTTAATACATTTGAACCACTGTATTTTTACTTTTCCATAGTCACATCCCTACTTTTATTTTGGCAGACATTTGAGCATTTGCCGCACGACAAACAACATGCATAAATTGGCGGGTCTTCATTTCAAGGCCTTTTTAAAATACTACATACTTTAATATGAACCATGTATTTTGGTTGAGATGTTACCATAAGTGCCATTTACAGAACTTGATAAGGCTTGTAATAAATATTCATATCAAACATTTTTTGTTAAGAGGACTTACATGTACATTATGTTTTTAGCCAAAGAGAAAGTACTTTATTATAAAAAAAATAAATGTTTTTTTATGAATGCAGTTTTTTATGGTCTATAATATACTGAGTGACAAAAAAAGGTAAACACCTACGTAAGTTTATTGGAATTCAAGATTTTTTACAGATCGATTAATCTTGCCATGAACAACAAGTGATAAAATGGTCAGGTTCTTCTGTTAATTGTGATGTATTGTTTTCGTACATTTACGATGTCAGTTAAATGTTAAATTTCGTGTAGCTTATTATATTATATAATTATATATATTATAAAATGCCTAGAGTGCGTAGAATTCGCCGGGTGTCAGAGCTAAGTGACTTTGAGAGCGGTCGAATTGTCGGGTTGCTTGAAGCCGGTCTATCGATAAGAGAAGTTTCTAGGAGGACCAACAGATCCTTACGCAGAATACTGCAGTGTGAACGAGTGTGGACTCACGAAGGCCGAGGACAGCGAGCGAGATGTTCTGGACGTCCCAGAGGGACCACATGGCGACAAAACCGCCGGTTAAGACTTCTGGCTCTGAGAGACAGATTCAGTGGATTCAGAAGGATGGTTGGTATGCGTACGGTATTTCGCAGCATACGGCAGTTTGGCCTTTTTTTCTTATCTTTTCTCCTCACAGCTGAACATCGGCGTAACCGAATCAGGTGATCTTAGTGACGAATCCCGCTTCTGTTTGGGGATGCACGATGGCCGGGCAAGAGTGAGAAGGCGACGTGGTTGAAGTCGTGACCCACAATTTGACAGCGAGCGTATGGGGTGCTAGTGATTATGGTAGCAGATCACCACTAATTTTCATCAGAGGGAATATGACAGCCCGACGCTATATTCAGGGAGTAGTGGAGCCTTATCTTATTCCACATCTAAACACCATCCAAAACCCGATTTTTCAGCAAGACAAAGCCAGACTGCATGTTGCCAGAGCATCGTTAGCCTTCATGGATCAACATCGCATCAATCGTTTACCTTGGCCACTACGATCGCCTGACCTATCTCCAATTGAAGATGTCTGGGACATGACAGGTCTCAGGCTCTTGAATTTGCAACATCCTCCACAGACTTTGCAGCGTTTACTCACGAAGTTGCAGCAGCCTGGAATGAGATACCCTCTATTCTTGAGTTTGAGGAAGTAGAAATTGTGAGAGAACGTGGCAAAAAGTGGTTGTGGCCAAAAAATGCAGTATTCTTGAAATCAATTCTACCGAAAAGTGTTAGAAATGAAATCACTTTAAGAAGTCGCGATTTCTCTTGGTACTGACCAAATTTCAATCAATTGATGCATTGGAACGATATTATTAACGAGGATGTAGTGGAGACAGTTGAGGAATGAGGATTGGGAGAGATATTCTTGGCACCGAGATCCCGAAAATTTTGTACAGATGTTTAGTTTGACCAAAGATTTGGTGTATGAATTGCTGGAGATATTGACTCCATTTATACAACCACCCTCAAGAGCTTCTGAACTCGATCAAAACAAAGGCAAGAATAGATATTGTTTTAGTCATTCTAAAACAGTATCCTTTAATCTATGATTGGATTTTCAGTGGTGCATTTGGGGGTGCTCTCGGAGAAATTCAATCATTTTGTTCATTTGTTATGTGCTTTTTTAAGTTTTCGGCTCCATAGATAAAATTATAAGGATGAAATCTTGACTAAAATCATTGTTTAGTTTTTGACTTTCAAAATTATCTCCATTTTGACTGGCTTAACACGTTTACTCAAATCTGGCAACCCTGTGCCTTGATTTCCTTTCTACTTTCTATCAAGACCTTTCAAGAATACAGTATTTTCGAATCGATAGAAAACCGTAGAAAAAGAGAGGGAGTGTGATTTTCTATCAAGTCAAGAATAGGAGCACCGGATATCGACCACCTTATCAGCACGATGCCCAGGCGTGTCAATTGAGTATATAAGAAATCGTGGATCCTCAACACATTATTGAACCAGCTTCTGCAGTCAGTTGACGAATCAAGCTGTAAGTATAATCATTTTACTAGTAATGGACCCTGAACATATATGCCAAAGATTATTAAAATCGGATAACATACGTAGGTGTTTACCTTTTTTTGTCACGCAGTATATAACATATGTATTGTAATGGCTTGGCAACAAAAACGTGTTAGAATGATCGAGTCCAAGGTAGAGTTGGCTCGGTTCTGAACGAGTCGTTCCAAGGGAACGATACCGCTGGAAGTGATTGAATGAATGAAATATGAAATTGGAGACATACCGGCCACCTTGGAGCCGGAGCATTGGCCATTTAAACATACCCTTATGCACTTCTACATTCCCTAGACCTCAGGCCTCTCCATTCTAGCAAATCTGAGTATGGCTTTGAATCCAGGCTCCTTAACGTTCTGTGGGTCCAAAGTGATGGGTCCCAGTGTAGTTTGCCTGTCTGCAGAGCTCGCACAACGGATCCTCAGCCACCCCAGTCCAGGTGGTGCCATAACGTGTTATGGCCAGATGACAGTCCCACCTGCAATCTTGCGGCACACTGTCTTTCCATAGAGGCATGACAAAGTGACAAAAAAATGTCTCCTTGCCGCATACCAGAATTTGCCCGTTGTTGCCTCTCGAGGGCGCCGTGAGTGTTGATCAGTGTAGCCGGCTATGCAAACCCGTTATCGGTGCGGCTTGTAGCAGGCGAAAAAATGGAGTGGACCAATGAAAAAACATTATCTTTAATTGAAGATTACCATAATTCGGATCAATTATGGAATAACAAGTCGGAAAGATATAAAGGTGCCGACTAAAGCAGGATAAATTACAGGAATTGTCAGGTAAATATAATTATTTCACGCTTTATGCGATGATGAGGCAAAAATAGTTGGCTACGGCCACTTGCTAGCGTACAGTACTTTCAGTCTTTTAGACGTATATGATTGTTTGCTTCTTGCCCAGCTGTCTCATTGACTTACCAGTAGTAGACGAGCAGGCCTATACCGCACCGACGAGGGCTAATGAGCCCGAAACAGTACTGTCTGCGGTTGGTTATGGTTTCAGGGGGACAAGAAGCAAACATCTTCTCATTTTCTTTCCATAGTTGGCTTATTTATTAATGGTTGATTTCTTTAAATATCAAAATACAACTGGTCGATATTAAAAAACAATGGATCATCGCCCTGCAAGAAGGGAAAGTGGTTTTGTTATGAAGCACTTACGTTCTTATTGGATGGGGATGAGTCCAGATCCACACTGATAACAGCTTTAAGTGACGAAGAGGACATTGAGGTGAGTTTTTTTAAATATAAATACACAACTTCATATCATTAGTAGGTATATTGAAACATATATCCGAACAGTATAATTATAAGAGTAAAAAGGTAGGCGTAAAAAATGAAAGTTAAGCGAAATACCGCATAAATTCCTTCCTGACTTCTTTAGCTGCCCTTCTTGCTGTTTGGCAAATTCTACAGACCAGTATCACCTTGGACGACTGCCCGCCATGATCCAGGAATAATTTTTCCATCTTGCGTTTTGTTATCTAAGGTTCCTTGAGGGCAATGTAATGATCGCGATGTTTTACTTCTTCTCAAAAAATTATGGAGGTAAATACATGGTTTTGTGACAATTTCGGCGTTTTCCAAATTGATCATTAGTGGTTTTCTGAATACACGAAATACACTTGCTAGCAGCCCAAATGAATTTTCCACTACTCTTCGAGCGCGTGAATGCCTATAATTGTACAATCTTTGAGAAGGGCCATTGTCGTGGTGGCCACTGAAGGGTTTCATGATGTGTTCCTGTAGTGGGAACACATCATCCATCAATATGACATAAGGCGATAGTTTACCGCTACCAGGAAGTGGTTCTGGGTCAGGCAATTTCGGCGTTCCTTGAGCCAACTTTTTATAAAAGGATGTTTCTCGAAAAACACCTCCGTCGGATATCCTGCCTTGACAGCCAACATTAGTATATATAAAATTATAATTTGCGTCAGCAACAGCCATCAAAACAATGCTAAAAGTCCCTTTGTAGTAGAAAAACATACTGCCACTGTTTTTTTGGACTCTGGATGACAACGTGTTTTACGCAATGCGGATAATTCCAGAAAACTTCGAAATCTCTTGCTATGGTTCTCCATTCGTTTTGTGAACATGGTATCTGGAAAAAAATTAGCATTTACTCATAATGTTAGTTTTTATTCCAAATGTGATTGTATTTGCAATTATTTTATGACATTTTAATGACAAATTTCTTTTCAATTCTGATATACAGATTGCATCCGGTGAGGATACTGAAATTGTTGACGACGTGCTTTATTCATCACCACAATCGCCAATTACGTCCCCATCAGATCCATCAACAGCATCTGGTCCACCAAGAAAAGTGTTTAAATTTCCCCTGAAAGGAACAAGAAAAAGAAAAGTGGAAGATCAACGTGCGGATGAGGGATATGCCATTTTGAAGAATTGTGTTAATGATAAAAAGGATGCCAGCAGTGTTTTTGGCGAGTATGTAGCCTCAAAGCATCGAAAGTATAGTCAATACACTAGAAATGTAATCCAACATTCGATTAACACGAGATGCAGATATGGGGAAATATGACGCACCAAGAGCTACATCACAACAACTTACTGAATTGCAGCCTAACCGTAACCCGCCTATTCAGCAGCTTCAGCCGGATGGATATCAACCACATACTATTTCGGTTACGTAGTATACATAGGTTCCTTTGAAAGTGACATAAATAATAATAACGTGTTTAGTATTAGGATTTCATTACAGTTATTACACATTTTTTATCGTTTTGGAAACGATAACTTTACATTTTGTTTTTACTATGGATTTCATTATAAATGAAAACGTTTGTTACCTTCCACATAATTATCCACATAGGTTCCTTTAAATCTGATAACGTCCTTATTTAATATGCAGATATCATTATGATCATTATTATAGATGTTATTGTTAATTTTATACTTCCTTCTTTTTGTTTGAAGGCATACTAATTTTTGAAAACTATTTTATTATTAGAATAAAAAATGATAATGTATTGATGTTTTTACTTACTCTAACAAAATCATGTAGAACGTCCATCAAAGCTCTGCAAACCTCTGGAATTATTCGAGAAATGCTTGGTTCAGATATCCGAAACAGATACATAAGCGATAGATAACTATCACCCGTAGCCAAATATCTTAATATCACTAGCAATCTCACGCGGGGCGTTATTGCTTCACGGAAGTTGGCATCACATTTTTTATCATAGGTGAGATTTTTTCAAGTAAGTAGTGAAAATCGTCTTTACTCCTCCGTGTGAAATTTCGGAATAAAGCATCATAGTCACCCACCAAGTTGTTGTACTGAATTTCTTGACCGTCTACGTATATATTTATTCTCCGATATTATGGCGTTTTTCTTTTCCGATCCGAAGAAATTACGTAGTCGTGCCATAAGTTCTGTCCCATGATAATCTCATGATAAAAATGAAACAAGATAAGATATATTTATATGAAAGATATTATTTATTCGACAACATTTTTAGAATTCATAATCAAACAGTTTTATTCAAAATGTCCCCCCTTGGCCTTCACACACTGCTTCAATCTCGCGGGCCACTCATCTATCACTGCACGCACAGCTTCCAAAGGAATAGCTGCCGCTGATCGGATCAAATCCGCTTTCAGGGACTCGATATTACGGTGGGCTTTGGAGCAGGCCAACTGCTCTAGCAGGTCCCACAACTTGTAGTCTAAAGGATTGAGGTCCGGACTCCCTGAGGGCCAATCTTCCGCAGCAATGAACTCTGGCACATTGCTTTCCAGCCAGCGCTGCGTACTCTTAGCCTTGTGAGCGGGGGCGGAATCCTGCTGGTAGACCCAGTGTTGGTTGGCAAACAATGTACCACTTAAAGGCTTGACGATAGGATCCAGTATGTCGCTCTGATAGTTTGCCGCTTTTGTTTTCACGCCCTGTTTACAGAAATGGAGCTGAGTGACCCCTTCGTAGGACACCCCCCACCAAACCATGACTGACGCAGGGTGGTGGCCTCTCTCAACTCTCGGAATGATCTCCGAAGCTTCCTGTGAACTCCTTGCATACACTTTGTCATTTTGTCGGTTGAATTTTTCTTCTATGGTGAAGATTTTTTCATCCGTGAACAAAATCTTTCGGAATCCCCCAGCTGCGTACCTCTCCAAGAGCTTCTTGGATCTTGTCGCCCTGATGTGTCGCAAGGTGGCCGTAAGTCGCTGGCCCGTACGTCTCCGGTAAGCCCCTAGCCCTAGGTCTTGTTTAATGATGCGCGACATCGTCCGGACAGGAATCTTCATTTCCCTGGATAGGATCTTCTGCTTCCGGAGTGGATTCCTTTGAATCCTGGCTTTTACGGCTTTGATGGCTGCTGGAGTCCTTACTTGACGAGGTCTTCCGCTTCTTGGCCTGTCATCAACAGAGGACGTCTCATTGTACCGCTGAATGGTCCTAGACACAAATTTACGCGATATTTGAAGGCCGCGTAAGAGTTCAAAAATCTGACTAGCACTGTGATTACACTTATGTAAAGCTATCACTGCAATACGGTTCTCTGCCTTGCCCCACTCCATCGTTATGCTTCGAGAGATCAATACAAACTCAGGTATATGTAATTACCCGAAAAGCGCTTAATCAACTGACACCACAATGTAAACAATCGGACAAGTATTAACAGGTCTACACTTGTTTGAAAACGAGGGACAGAACTTATGGCATGACTACGTACTAAATAAGCAGCCGCCGATACTGTCTGTAATGACATGACCTACTAAACTGGAGTTGCCTGAATTGAATTGAATCGTGAAGACGCATGCTACACTCATGTACGACAAAGCGCATGCCACATAGGGGAACAAAATCAGCATGCGGCATTAATAGAATTTTGGGCAACATTGTCGAACGTCAACAAGAGGCAACACTAGAAAACCAGTAGCATGGTACATGTCGTTCATTTGTTGCCTCAGTGGAATTGCGCCTTTAGGTTGGCTCTATCCAAAGATAAGCAAAACCGTCCATCCTTAGCGCTGGGCCCTACGATGAGTTCCCGTATCTGACGGAGATGTCTGGAGATGCTTCTGCAATAACTGAGAGTGTTTTCTTGCAATCCACTTCTCTAATTTCCTCCTAACTCTTTGCGCGGGTACCCCTAAAGCTGGCTCAGGACCAACGAGCTTTCTTGCTGATCTTGTATTCGCCAGAGTTTCATCGCCGTATCATTGCCCTTTATCCCAGCGTGTCCCGGTACCCACACTAACGATACCGGATGCCTCCCGGCTAGACATCCAGAGCCTCCCTTCATTGCATTACAAGGCTCAAAGTAATCTTACAAGGCACTTAGTGCCTTCATTGCAGCCTGGTGTCGGAGAATATTGTTATTCTTCTAGGCCCTTCCCCCCAAGATGCGAGACAAGCGAAAAGGGCGCCAGAGCCCACTGCAGTAACCAAGCCGTCCGTGTACCAGACCTGCCCATTCACTCCAGAGACCTTCCGGCTACTAGAGTCCCACTCCGCCCTCATTTTATACTCCACATTAAACTTGGGGTTAAAGCGACATTTAGGGGTGATCAGATCACCCCTGCTCAGAAGGACATGCAGTTCGACTAAGATGGCAGTGTGACCTTTGACAGGATTCAAGAAGGTCCAGCTGCTCTGACTCCACAGTCGATGTGCGACTACTCTCGCTTCTCCGCGGATCGCAAGATCCAACAGTGGGAGATCCAGCAGAGCTAAAAACATTCTTCCTGTATTTTCTATAAACTGATTCACAGTAGACGGGCACGTGGAAGTGGCCGTGTTTTCAGTGCCCTCGACGACACCGTACCTTGATCATCGCATTGTGTTGCAACGATATTTTTCGACTTTTATCGCTTTTTATATAATTTCATGAATATTTTGATATAATTGGTCAAAAACACGAATGATGAAAAACTAATCGAATTTGTACTCGTACAACCCGTGCTGTAGAACCAGACAAATTCAAAATACATGGACTTCCGTTTTCTTCTTTTTCATCTTTCGTAGGTGGTAGACGGTCTCTGACTGCCGAACGCGGAGGTACCACCTGGCGGATCTCGTAGGCGGGGCCAGAATGTGTGCATGTTTCCTCGCCAGAGCCCGTGTGGTGTCCCCCCCTTTCGCCTGTATCCCCCTATAGCCCCACGGTACTCCATGGGTGTTTAGGCCTTAGGCCTTCGTGGTAGTTGGAGTATATAAAGAATCCAGAATGAATGAAATAATTGCAAGTTCATCCTATGAAAATTTTGCCATCTCGACCCGACGTGAACACAACTGCACCGTCAGAGCACGCAGAAAAATACTGACCGGTGTGAATTGAAAACACTGTCAGCTCACGTCAGCGAGAATCGCTGGCACGTCACTGCACTGTCACGTCACGGCTGAGTGTGAATACACGCCCAAACGCTGAATTTTATAAAGTTTGGCCTTAGTTGTCTCGGTTCCAATGCAAGGCCACCAAACCAGGGAGCCGTACAAGACAGATTGACGTACCGCAGGGGGTATTCAAGGGATAGATTCCGAAGGTTTCTAAACGGATTACAGTATTTTTCCGTTACCTGCAACCGTTACGATACTTGTGCTTTCAACTGCCTGCGCGGCTGCTTCGGTATATAAAAAAAATTCGCAAACAAAATGCTCATTTCCATGTTTTTTGGTGCGTCTATTTTTCATAGGTTGTCGACGCTGCGGAGTTGATAAAGAGGCTGAAGTAGTAAAATTGAGCTTTATTCGCCTTGGAAAGTGCTTCTGTTCAGGCACTAAGCAAAAGCGCATAATACTGTGCCTTAAAAACTACTAGACAATGCAGTCCTTATTTTGCACTGTCAGCGATGAAGAAGAAGAATGTCACCACATAACAAAGTGAAGTACCTCTGAGATAAGCCGTTTCTGACTCCCTTAAAAAATACTAACGAAAATTTTTTAAACATGAAGAGAACAAAAGTCACAATTTTCTGAA